ATGTCAGTATTTCGGAAGGTATGGTTGGATGCTTGGGTTGGGATAGGATGGATGGTGGGTGTAGTGTGTCTGTCTGTCTGTGTGTTTGTGTGTCTGTGTGATGGGTAGGTGTGGTTTGGATGGTTTGGGTATGGATTTGAGATGGTATGGTATGGTATGGTATGGTATGGTATGGTATGGTATGGTATGGTATGGTATGGTATGGTATGGTATGGTATGGTATGGTATGGTATGGTATGGTATGGAGCTATGGTGATTGGGGTATATGATTAAGCTATGTGTTTTGGGTATATGATGGAAGTATGCTATAAAGTTATGGTATGTGATGGAGCTATATGTTTTGGGTATATGATGGAAGTATGCTATAAAGTTATGGTATGTGATGGAGCTACGATGATTGGGGTATATGATTAAGCTATGTATTTTGGGTATATGATAGAAGTATGCTATAAATTTATGGTATGTGATGGAGCTAGGTATGTGATGGAGCTATGCTGTGCTATGGGAATCGTATTGGGGTGGTAATGCGGGAGGTTTAAGTCATTAGGTTCATGAGTTGGATTTTCTGGAGCTACATGTCAGTATATCGCAAGTCATACTACGACGCTTGCTTCGGAAACAGAAATATTGGAGAGTCTATAGTGTGTCTGTGTGCTAGGTAGGTGTGGTTTGGATGGTGGGATTAGAGTGGAAGTGGTTGAGATGGTAGTGCGGGAGGTTTAGGTCATTAGGTTGGTAGGGTGGGTTGTAGGTTGTTTTCTTCAGTCGTTAGGTTGATGAGGTATGGAGCTAGTTGTTAATAGGTTGGGAGTTGTAGATTGTTGGGTTGTTGGTTGTAGGTTGTACGTCGTATTTGTAGGTCGTATTTGTAGGTCGTATGTCTTACTTGTTTACGGATGAGGAATGGTGAGGTGGGTATGAGGTATAGGGTGTGATGTGAGGTGTGATGCGAGGTGTGATGCGAGGTGTGATGAGATGGGAGCAGCTACAGGGTTTGATGAAGAGGGTATAGGATGTGATAAAGAGAGTTTGGGCTTGAGGTGTAATGAAGAAGGTATAGGATATAACGAAAGAGGTATGAGGTATACCAAAGAGGCATATTACTTGAATAGGAAGGTGAGAAATGGATAGAATGGGATAGTATAAAACGGATTCATGAAGTTGATTAGTTAGTTAACGAAGTTAGTCAACGAAGTTAGTTATGAAGATACTTGATCAGCGGCAGGCGGGCGAGATAGTCCATGATCTTCTTGGAAATAATGGGGAACAGTGAGGGGAGATGGTAAAGGAGATAGTAGGGGGGGCGAGGTGCGGGTGAGATGTGAGGTGTGAGATGGTTAGGGTGAATTAGATGGGTAGGATCGGTTTATGGTTGGGTGGTGCGCGGGTTGGGTACGGAGTGGGTGATGAAATGGTGAGGTAAGATCTACGGTTTGTGTACTTAATTTGATGAGGAGGGTGGGGGGAGGAGGAGGAGGAGGAGGGAGTCAAGAAGTAAAAGGAAGTTGAGATGAACTTGTAGTTACTAGTAGCTGTACGATGAAAATGGAAATGGAAATGGGTTTGTAGAAATAGAGGTATGAGAGAGATTGGTGATCTCCAATCTTAGAAGTGCTAATTATGTGATTACATGGTTGTATTAATTGTGAAATCTAGGATTGCTTAATGTATGCAGTATAGATTAGTATAGATCGTAGATAGATAGAGGATGTTTCAAAGGATGTATAGGTTCGAAAAATTGGGAGATGGGAAATGGGATATGGGATATGGACAAGGACATTTGGATAATATGCTTTTTATTTTTGTTGTTCGGAGGAGAATAAATTGTGAGACGATATACTTACTGCACGCACTTCAAGTGACTTCGCAACTGCGCAACTGCTACCCATTCTTCTATCCCCATCGAAGTCGACTGGGCTGGGCGGAGATGGCAGTGAGATATTTCATTCATTCATTCATTCGTTCATTCAGAATATTGAGACAATTGGAGTCGAGACGGGATGAGTGAGAAGCATGAGTTGCATGTGTGGGATGATATGATTTCCTTCTTTCTTCCAGAGCATGATGCGATTTAAGCGGACATGAAATATCTGATTCCTGGGAAAATTATCATCCTGATAGATTTGTGGATTTGCGTCGTTTTCAATATGAAAGGAAACTAATGAAAAGTGTTTGAAGCCGCTGAGTCTGGCTGGCGTACTTGGGTTTTTTTCTCATCTCTTGTCTCTTTCTTTATATTCCGCGATGCAATGACACCCGATTCCTGAGGTGTTGCATGGATGATATTTCCTCACTTCTTTCACCCATACATTTCCTTCTTTTTCTTCTATCAGTTGTTGGAGTATCTCGTGCAGCTTGAGATTGAGCTTGAGTTGATAATTCCACAGCAGCCAAATCTGAATAATAATCAACTTTATACAGAGATGAAGAGATAATGTACATCTTTGAATTATCAATTATGCGCTTTCTCGGAAATAAAAAAATTGTAATCTCTAGTTGATATGTGTATAGTTTCATAGTAGTAGATATAGATCTAGATCTAGATCTAGGGCTAGATGCTGGACTGCTGGATGAAATGCTTGCTGGTACTTTGGGAGGTTTTTGGATAAAATTAGGGATAAGGGGATGGTGATTATTTCTGTCTATTTGTATTCTATTTGTGTAAGGCTTGCGTTTGGATTGATGAATGTGAATACCTTTTCACTAGATTTTTGTGGTGATCAGTAATGTATTTTATGACTCTTCATTCACTTCAGCGTTGATTGGTGTCATTTCAAGAGTTGAATGGAGGTTTACATTTGCATTTGTTTTGAAATCATTATTACATTATATACGGAAGATGCGAATATCTCCTACCTCATTACTATCATCTCAAAAAGAAAAAGAAAAGAAACGAAAGAAATGGACTGCTGCCTTCCTGAGAGGGAGAGTAATACCTCCCGTCATGTTCCCGGAGATTATGATCGATTAGTTGATTATATTTAAGTTGAGCTTTTATGATACTTTGTTTGGAAATTCATTGTTAGTTCTTTGATCCGATTCCGGCAGGGGGTAAATGAATACTCAGGGAAAGAAAAAGAGAATGATATGGGAAACTCATCCTTGGTTGTGGGAAACTATAAATTTTTGGAGGGAGGAAAGGGTGTAAGATAACTCGTATATGTGACTTGGTTTGATGCATGCAGTAGATCTGTCAAAATTCTGCTATCAAAATTTTCTCCAATTAAGGTGAATGATGAGGCTAATTAGATCTTAGTTCTTTTACTCATTGGCAAAACATTCTTTTCAAGTCCCAAAAGATTCCCCTCAGATCTCAACAGGCTCTTGTTCTCAACTCACTGATCGATTTCATACTTAGGATATGGAATATCAGTAACAATCAATAGAACAGCATGTCATGAGAATACTAATATCCTCATCATGTGTTCGCTTATCAGTAGTTCAGTGAGATTCGGCTTCCAGAGCTACACTCGCTTAAATTGCGGGGCTTCTCGACACCTCACCTCTCTCACGTGTCGTGAACATGTAAATATATAAACTCGTGGACTTTGTTGGTGTTGCCAGAGTGTTAGAGTATATTTGTGGAGGTGAGAAAAATATGTGATAGAATTGACAGATGTAGAGGAGGAGATTAGCGAGTAGTCGATACGAAAAAGGAAGAGAAAGATGCATATAGTATGTATGATTCTAGTACAAACGGCTTCTGGTTTTCATAGTAGAATCATGAAAATACATCTTCAGTGTGGACTATTATTCTATTTAATTATGAATGTTGAATCTAAAATTGACTTGTTATAATATGACTTACAACCTGTGAACATTGATTAGAGAGTAGCTGAAATATCTGTAAGTACTTATCTGAAGGTTGTATGAGAACAAGTAATCATTGTATAACAGAGGCAAAATAAACGTATCAAAGAATTATTTTTTATTTCATCACAAGATACTGTATTTTTATAGTAATCATTATTTGCAGATGGGAATTCCAACTGTTGCCATCTGAAGCTCAACGTTTGTAGTAGACAATTATCTCATAATATCTTTGTAGATAAGTTAATAATACCGTCCAAAGACTCGAAGATCTAACACTAAAGATCATTGGTGGATTACAAAACTTTTGAATGTGTCTTTTAGATCTCACTCGAGACAAGTATCAGCTTTTTAGAAACATAAAAAATACACTCACAAGGTCTCGGCCAATAAGACACAGCTTAAAGACAAAAGAACTTTTTAAACTATCAACTTTTGAATTGTTAAAGAACTAAACCTATGGCCGAGTGCTAACAGAGTAAACTCAACTGTCAACTTGTTGCTAAAGTTCTAATAACTATCGTCGAAAGGCATGCAGTAATCTTGTAGCTGTTATGAAGACATTTGAGACATTATAACTAAAGTTTGAGGTATATAAAAGAACCCTTATCTAGCTGTAAGAATGTTAACGACATACCAAGTAGTTTCCATAAGGTTAAGAGACGAATAGAACCATTATTTGACAAATTAGACATATTAATCAAAGTCATTAGATGAATACAATCACCAAGTAACAATATGACTCAGAGACTTCAGACACAACTAGACAAGTATCATCTCAGACTCTCAGAATTAGATTAGCCGTATAAACACCAAATCTAAATAGTTGTTTCTAAGTCACATGATTGATAAACTTCCCATCAACTTGAAGTTCCCCCCTCGAGGGGCATTTCTCCTAAGCGACTAAGCAAAACCTCTTTTTGGTGTAATAGTTGAATTGATCCAAACACGTGATGATTTACGTTTCTTATTACTTTACTGCCACTCTTAACCTCTTTTGAACCCTCCAGCAACAACAAAGATTACAAATTCGAGTATTAACTCGAAATTCGACATTTCTCTCACCTAATCTTTGGTTCTTGCTTTCCTGCCTCCTTTCTCTGTTTTTACTTTGCGCCTCTGCCATCTTCGTGCTTCTCCATCGCCGAATTACCCTCCTGGTTCTTTCGGTGCTTTGTCCTCCTGCTACAATGGCAGGTATTCAATCGTAAGAGCAAATGCTTGGTTTATTCGATTTATGCAACCTTCTATACTGCATTCAACGTTTGATAATAACCTGGATACCGAGCTAATTATTTTGAATCATATAGCCAATCGCCTGCCAGTGATGGTGATTATGATTCCGATGCAGAGTACGTATTTTATCCTACCACTTTTTCTTCTTCTTCAATACGTGCCGTCTACTTGCCAAGTTCTACAAGCTAGACGTGATTCTCTCATCTATTTCGGCCGATCCTATACAATTGAACTAACTATTATCTCTAAATAGCGTCCCGGTACCCATCGAGCCCACCCCAACCTGTGCGCGCTGCGTGACGAAATTGGTCCTCGACCCTACCTCACAATGCATCCTCCATCAACCAACCCGGCGGGCCGTTGCCATGAGGTCCGATACGAAGTGCAGATACTGCCAGGTCCAACGGGCAAGATGTTACAAGTGCCCTTCAGCACTCAAGCCGGAGATTTTGGAGCTCCAACAACGAGCCCAGGACTACAATACCTGGGTAGATGGGCAGAATCTACTTCCGCCTGCTCAGCGCAGCACTTGGGTCTTACCAACGACTGTCCCGGCTGCATGCCCCAGCAACGCACCGGATGTTTACAAAGAGCTACATAGGGCTCAAAAAGTGGTCGTAGCTGGGATTAAAGGAGCCCAGAAGCGTATCTCTGGGTGGAGAACCATGAGGAACGTTATAAGGAACTCCATCATGAGACTGGATCCTGTGGTTCGAAATGGTGACAACCGTGGCTACTGGTGGTAAATGGGGGTAGATAAGGCTTGGGAACCTGTTTGAAAGTTACCCAAGGGGACGGTTTAGTGGAGTAGAGGTAAATTGGCTTGGGAACCATAAGTACCTGTAGAATAGACGAGGGAGATGGATGGACATATGGATGGCTTGGGAACCATAAGTACCTGTAGGTAGACGAGGGAGATGGATGGATGGATTCGGGCATCGTATGGATGCGGCGGGGGAGGCCAGCAAAGACGAATCTCTGCCTGTACGTGGTGCTGGCTACGAACCTGAGTATGACCTACTTATACTTACCGGCGTTGTCTTCGGACTACTGTTGCTTGTATATATAAGTGGGCATTATGCAGAGCCGAAGAGATAGCATAAGGTAGTGTATATGGGTAAGTTGAGACAGCTGGGAGGGAGAATTGATGTCATCTACTAAGGGGATAGTGATTGAGTGAGAGGATGACGTTCGAAATGAACAGCACTGACTCACGTCGTAGGACATTTAAATCAACGAAGAGGAAAAGCAATTGGATACGCAATGCAATGTAAGTCTAATAACATTTTCTTTCCCCTACATCTGTTCCCTACAAAACCACTGGCACTCCACCTTTGTACAAACACAGCTCGCCATTTAGTCAATTGATCTGGTGGTCAAGAGGAAGGTAAAGATGAAGATGTGGATCCTTCAGATCCAGCTTTGAGGTCCTTGAAAATGAGTATATGGTCATAGGAGATCCAATTCGAGAAATCCGGCCCGATGCCATATCGTTGGATCAATCATGGTCGGCAGATAAGTCAAATGAGCTTGACTTTGCGATGGTAGCTCGTTGATGCAAGGCAAAACATAGGCATGACAGCAAGGTCTGTATTTAATGTTCATTCAATGGAAAAACAACATTACATATAGGGTCCAGATGGTAAATGAGCCAGTGAAAGATATCATTTGAGTGAATTTGGAGATTGATTGGAACTCTTGCTTGAAAACGGAATGAATGTTTATGGCAGAGAATTTTTTTGAGGAGCATGTCAACGCGTTATTAGCAAAGAAGTAGTATGAAGGTACGCGGGATTAGGTTTGGTTATGGAGTAGACTTGAGATGCAAAATAAATATTTGGGCGAAAAAAATAATGTGAACTGATGTTAACATTGTCCTCAGATGATGAATACAAAACCAAATTTTGGAAAGTATTTCGTGATTCTTACATTCTTCAATTCTCCCCTAGTCATTGGCTAAGCAAAGGCTCTGCTTGCTATGGTATTGTAAAACACCTATCCGCCCCTAAAACGCCATAATGATGCTCCCTTCCCCTCAAACTCCCTTTTCCATCTTACAGAATCCAACCCAACTTCTTTACGCTTTCTTCGGCAAAGCAGGTGGACCCATTTTACCAGCACCAGAATCTACTTTCTTGGGAGGAGGTCCCATACTGCCATCACCACCACCATTTCCAACTTGAGTAAAAGTTCCACCTTTGAACCATTTATCTTCTTCTGCTGCCCTCTTTCTCTTCATTTCTGCTACTCTCTTTGGATCTACCAATTCTAATCCTTGAACTGGCGTGAATGCCAAACTACTAGCAGTTCCTGCACTAGCTCCAGTACTAGTACTCAATCCTCCTACACCTGAAGCTCTTAAGCCTTTACCCCGTAAATCTATATTACCAGCCGATTGACCAAATCCTCGCAGTGAGGATGCGGAACCACTCATAGGAGTTGAAGTACCCCACCCCTTGTTCTTTGCGGAAAGTTTGGCTTTTGTACGTTGATCTATTTGAATATTTCGAATGCGTCCGTCATTGCCTTGTCCAATCATACCCATACCCTTAGTTCCATCACCAGTACCATAACCAACTTCTTTCTCTTCCTTTCCAAAAGCCATTCTGTTTTGTGCTTTTCTCAAATCGGTCATAGCAGTTGCCGCCTTGGCTAATCGAGCACGTCGACCACCACGTTTGCGTGCAGGTTTATCATCTGGAGCTGGCAATGCGCGAGCACCTTTATTTGGAGGGGGCTCAGTGAGCTTTTCGAGTCGAGTGATACATTGTTCTTTTAATTCTTCACCTGTAGATCCATCTGGACTATTATGAACGCGGTCAACTCTTGCAGCTAGGACAACTTTAGCGGAGACAATACGCATAGCTTGTTTCTTGAGATCATTAGGAATGCCTTGAATGATAGGAGAATGATAGAGGAATCCTTGTTGGCGAACTCCAACATTAGTAGCGAAACCTGTTCCGGATGATTTATTGGATCCTAGAGGAGGAAGATTGCATGCAGGTGTCTTTGCTAAGCCTGTCAAACCTCCAGCGAAATTGAGTAGTTGTGCCGCTGTGAGAGATCCAATGAGGGCTGTAAGATTTGGAGCGAATAAGTTCATGCGTGATTGAACATAATCAGTTAATGTCTTTTTCGCTTTGTCCAATGCAAGAGTCATATCACAAGCACGAAGTACTCTTTCAAGTTCATGTGGTGACATTTCTCGACCCTTTGTAGTGGTTGCCTCGACCGTAACAATCATAACAGATGGACCATCCAAAACGGATCTTAGTGTAGCACCAAGTCGATTGTCCTTCGATGTTTGAAGCGTCTTGATATTTTCTGAGTCCATAGGTCCATTCCCAATGATAGTGACAACTTTAGCATAGTCCAATGGATTGGTGACCAATGTTTCCAATTCCGGAAATCGAATCGAGTAATGATCTCGTATGAACTTGTGTACTAGGATGATTTCACTATCGATAGATGTCGACAAAGTGTTTGCTTGCGTTAAGAGATGATATTCTGGGTTGTCTTCGACCGAGCCTACGAAGGTTGTTTGTTTATCGGGAGGTAATGATTGAAAATGTGCGATTTTCTGTCAAATCGAGGAAAGAGTCAGGGCTAAGACACGAAAGAGTAGATGTAAACCATAGGTCTCCAAGTTAAGAAAGGGAAAAACAAAATACTACTGACCTCTAAAACTGGTTCTAACGTTTTCATCAAACCTGCTACACTTCGCACATCATCTACTCCACCAAGTTGCATCTTTTCAACTTTTGCTTTGGTCGCCTCCTCATCTTCTGTAGCATCAATAGCATGACTAGTCATTCCTACCATCTCATCATCCTCGTCGACTACTTCTTCATCGCCATCGAGTTCCATTTCGCTTGCGCCTGAAAGTCCTGTCGCGTTTCCATTCATGCTTAGGACGACCTCGTCAGGGTCGGCAAAAAGGTGTGCATTATCCTCCCCTTCACCTTCGGATCCAGAATCCTCAAAATCTTGCAATAATTCATCTGCGAGAGTCGACATCTTAAATGTAATGTTGTTTGTTGTAGTTGGCGCGTGAAGGTGGAAAATCGATTAGAGAAGAGCTCGAGCCGGAAAGGCGGCCGCTAGCGTAGGCTCTATTACTAATCAGTCTTTTTGACTATTGCGACACCTTCAAGTCTCGAACGCGAACCAGAATTATACCAACTATTTCGTCAAGAAATCAAGTTCGACCGCAACCATGGAGTCCGAATATGAGGAAGCTCGAGGTCCCCCAAAGGTCAAAAATAAGGCCGCCAGCGCCATCCAAATCTCAGCAGAACAACTTCTTCGAGAAGCGGTTGACCGTCAAGAACCAGGACTTCAAGCACCAACTCAGCGGTTTGCTGATCTCGAAGAGCTTCATGAATTCCAAGGGAGGAAAAGAAAAGAGTTCGAGGATTATGTGCGGAGGAATAGGATTAATATGAATAATTGGATGAGGTATGCACAGTGGGAATTGGAACAAAAAGAATTCAAACGAGCACGATCCGTTTTTGAACGAGCATTAGATGTCGACTCTACATCTGTCACATTATGGATTCGATATATCGAGGCGGAGATGAAATCACGAAATATAAATCATGCCAGAAATTTGTTGGATCGCGCCGTGACTATTCTGCCCAGAATTGATAAATTGTGGTACAAATATTGTTACATGGAAGAAATGCTTGGTAACATTCCCGGTACACGACAAGTCTTCGAAAGATGGATGTCTTGGGAACCGGATGAGGCAGCTTGGAGCAGTTACATCAAATTGGAGAAAAGATATGGCGAGTTTCAAAGAGCTAGGGAAATCTTCCAAAGATTTACTATGGTACATCCCGAACCAAGAAATTGGATCAAATGGGCCAGATTCGAAGAAGAGTATGGAACTAGTGATTTGGTTCGAGAGGTATTTGGCACAGCTGTTGAGGCACTGGGCGAAGACTTCATGGATGAGAGACTCTTCATTGCATATGCGAGATTCGAGGCAAAGCTAAAGGAGTACGAACGCGCAAGAGCCATTTACAAATATGCCCTCGACCGTATGGCACGATCAAAGTCTATTTCCCTCCATAAAGCTTATACGACTTTCGAAAAGCAATTCGGTGATCGTGAAGGTGTGGAAGATGTAATTATTTCGAAGCGTCGAGTTCAATATGAGGAGCAGGTAAAGGAGAATCCCAAAAATTACGATGCGTGGTTCGACTATGCCAGATTAGAGGAAACTTCGGGGGATGTCGATCGAGTTCGAGATGTTTATGAAAGAGCCATTGCTCAAATTCCACCAACCCAGGAGAAGAGGCATTGGAGGCGTTATATTTATTTGTGGATCTTTTATGCTATTTGGGAGGAAATGGAGTCAAAAGATGTTGAGCGAGCGAGACAGATCTACCAGGAGTGTCTGAAGTTGATACCTCACAAGAAATTTACATTTGCCAAGATTTGGCTCATGAAGGCTCAATTCGAGATTCGACAACAGCAATTACAAGCCGCCAGAAAGACTTTAGGTCAAGCCATCGGAATGTGTCCCAAAGATAAGCTTTTCAAAGGTTATGTTGAGCTAGAGATCAAACTTTTCGAATTCGTGAGATGTCGTACCCTTTACGAGAAACATATCGAATGGAATCCAGCTAATTGTCAAGCTTGGATTAAATTTGCCGAACTGGAAAGAGGTTTAGATGATCTTGAACGTACTCGTGCGATATTTGAGTTGGCAATTAGTCAACAAGTTCTTGATATGCCGGAACTATTATGGAAAGCCTACATTGACTTTGAGGAGGAAGAAGGAGAGTACGATCGCACTAGACACCTATACGAGCGATTGTTGGAGAAGACAGATCATGTGAAGGTCTGGATCAGTTATGCACATTTCGAAATCAACGTTCCAGATGATGATGATGAGGAAGAGATAGAGGAGGATGAGGAGAAACCAGTCAGTGAGGCTGCAAAAACACGTGCAAGGAAGATCTTCGAACGTGCCCTTAAGAGCATGAAAGACAAGGATCTTAAGGAAGAAGTATGTCACACACTTGATCCAAATATTTTAACACAACATCTAACAAATTCACAGCGTGTTTCTCTCCTCAATGCTCATCTTTCCTTTGAACGTACACATGGTACAGAGGAAGATATCGAGAAAGTACAGAAACAAATGCCAAGAAAGACGAAGAGAAGAAGAAAGCTTGATGATGATAGTTATGAGGAATATGTTGATTACGTTTTCCCTGCCGATGATGAGCAAACGAAGAAATTATCGAATTTCTTGGCAATGGCCCAAAGTTGGAAACAAGCTGGTGGAACGATTAGCGGTGGCGGAGATTAGAATACATTTTAAGACCAGGTTGGAAGAGTCGAACAAATTTGTGTATGTATACCTAGGCCGTCATCAAATGAATTGACGACGCTTAATTTATGGTACGTTTGACACCCAGAACGTCTTCTACATCAGTGTATGTTCCCACGGTTTCTGCTTGTATGGACACTTTTAGTTTAATTTCATTGAATTCTTAGCATTATTTGTTTCGGGTTCAAAGCGAATAGACATTCACATTGGGTGGACTCATTTGCATCAAACATAAAAGCCCTTGCGATAATGTTAAGATCGACAGCATCTGGAAGAATCTCCAGGAAGGATTCGGGCTTCTCGCTGGTATTCAGATCGCAAAGACCATGTCGACCCAACGGTAATACGATCGTTTAAGATTGGCGTTATTATCAAACGGCTCCCGAGAGAGATTCGGGTCACCAACGAGTTTGTGTCATTGTGTAGGATAGAGCTAAAGAACGTAGTGATGATTGTTTGAGATAGACGGAGACGATGATTGAGAAATATTTGTTCGAATAATTCAAATAATCTTCCAATCTTTGTTGGATTAAAAAGTCTGGCAAGTAATGCAGAAATGGATCTACGACCCGAACGATTCAACATATACAGCTATTTACGTTTACAGCTTGTTCTCGACCTTGTTACATCCCATAGATCTCCATTTCGATAAAGCATCCTAACCTGTTCTTCATTCACTTCTCAATAACTCGACAAAGCCTTCGCCCTTAATCTTGGACCGTACCACCATATACCCAACGGTGCTGGTATGCCAATCGCGATAGCAATAAACGCCAATGTGCTATTTCCCCACCCATGCCCCAACACTTGATACATCCTCGGCGGAAACAAAGGAAAGCCAAAAGCAGTTAAACCACACAGAAATTGTGATGCAGCAGATGCTGAACTTGTATGGTATGGATACGAATCAATAACGTATGCTTGCAATGTTTGTCCACTAATCTGCATACCAAAACATAATCCAAAAGCTCCAAGGTCAACAACGATCCAAGGTGCATGCTTTTGAGCTGCCCATCCAGAAACTAAAATTCCAATGGGTATGAGGATGAATGATGGTATTATGATCGGGACCCGAAATTCCGGCATCTCAACACCATTTGTGCGTTGTTTCATTCTGCGGAAAACGAGGTCTAATAATGGCCCTCCAATTTGTGCTCCCACTATTTCACCGGGGCACATGGCAAGATAGTGAAGGCCACTTTTGGAGATAGACTCGTGGTATTCTACAGTCCAGATATCGGAGTAGGTGGAAAGAGTAATATAGGTGATGCCAGAATCGAGAGCCGAAAGACAAGCCTGAACTAGAGTAATCGGATGGAATAGAAGTGAACGAATGGGTCTAGAAAAACTTCTCATCAATACCCAGGAAACTGATCTTCCATTTCCAAGTGCCTCATCCCCTGTGTAATAACGCGCATTCCCGGTACTACGTCTGAGCTCTTTGGCTTTATGCCGAAGAATTGTTGGACCATGGGTTTCTCGAAATAAAGGGATCGATATCACGATCAAGATTGCCTGAAAAGTTGATGTTGACCAAAACATCCACCTCCAGGTCGTATATTCCGTGATATAACCTCCGATAATAGGACCAGCAGCTGCACCAAAAAGTGGTAACAAAGAATAGATTCCCAAAGATCTTCCTCTCTCATCAGATCTCTAAACATCCCCCAGAACTTCACTTCCTAACGCATAAATAGCATTAGCACCAAGACCAGCCATCAATCTTGCAGCAATCAATAACCCCTTCGTTTGCGCAAATCCACATACAATATTCCAAATCAGAAACCATATTTTGGCGGTATGTAACACAACGCGTCGTCTATATAATTCAGATAGCGGACCAATAAGTAAGGGACCAAAGGCTGTGGCAAGTGAGTAAACGGACATAGCCATAACAGATTCAAGGGAAGTCATATGGAGCTCAGATGCGATTATAGGAAGTGCAAGTGCCATAATCGTGGATACAGCAATTCAGTTGAAGCTGGTGGATGAGAGGACGAGCGTAGTGAGCCATTTCTGGTAGGTCGGCCAGCATTTTGGGTTGGCGGGATCTTGGGGAACGTTGAATGCCACGAGGTGTTCAGTATTCGCGTCAGCGTATGTCGTGGTAATAGGTGTGGAAGTCGGTGTGGAAGCTTTTTCGGGGTCATCTCCAGGTACCATTACCGAAAGTCCGCGTTCTGAAATCGAGGTTACCCGTCGTGGTAAGCTTTAGTAAGGGGTTGCTCGAATTGAATTGAAAGCTAAGCTGATGGTTTTTCGTTCGTGTATTGGTTCAACTCATAGTATATATGCATCTGATGATACAATAGGAATAAGCTGCTGGGCCTATCTATTCCGTTATCATGAATTCAAGAGTCTTACATCGGTTCATGCAGGAGATTTGACAGCTAACTCAAACGAAAAGTCGCATGTTTATCATTCATATCCTGGGGAAAGTGTCTATGATACAGAAACTATCATGTCCATATTACCATGACTACACTACCATGGAATTTTCATTGGAGATCATTCCTTTTCCCAGAGTTTCTCCTGCCGGAAAGCTCCTCTCCTACAAAGCTACCATGCAATTCTATATTTGGTTATTCAGCTTTAGCCCTTTCAAGACATACCTAGGCTTTAACTTAGAATCCAAAGTTCAAGGGCAAATTGCACACCAAAACTTCCAGAAGAGATTTCGTGCTCATGCATCGCGCTTTTGCTCACACGGAATAAGCGGAATAGCATATACGGGAGTACGGAATAACAATTAGGCGCTAGGATCCACACATGTATTGTATCACTAGAAGGGTGCTAAATATTTGGCAAGCAAGACATTGATCACCGATTGGATTGTGATCCCCTGATTGATAAGATATGATTAGATTGTAAAATTATCTGATCGTTTTCTTGCATTAACGCTAGGTAAATATGAAGTAACCGAGCTCTTCACTCCAATTCGACTACCAGCAACGACAGCAGCTTGCTTACTGTGGACATTTTCGATAACAAAAAGATCTCTATTGTCAAACTCTCATGATCGAAAGATATGTCAGGGTTCAACGTTTGTATTTAGACTGATCCAAAAGCCATTGGCCAACCCTACAACAATGTAAATTAGCTAGTGCTATCATAAGATATGTCAACTTGAGTGAGCTCACCACAGATTAACATCAAGCATGCATCATTCCCGGTAAGCTCGGAGTTTTCTGCATCTAATCAATCGCCTCTTTCGGGGCGGCGCGAGTGATGTAATTTCTTCTGGTTGACCCTCTTCTTGTTGTCTTCTCAACTCCTCTTCTTGTTGTTTTATCAACTTGTCTTCTTGTTGTCTTCTTAACTCCTCTTTTTGTCGTCTTTTCAACTCTTCTTCTTGTCGTCTTCTCAGCTCCTCTTCTTGTTGTCTTCTCGACTCCTCTTCTTGTTGTCTTCCCAACTCCTCTTCTTGTTGTCTTATCAACTCGTCTTGTTGTTGTCTTCTCAGCTTCTCTTCTTGTTGTTGTCTTCTAAGCTTCTCTTCTTGTTGTCTTGTCAACTCGTCTTGTTGTTGTCTTCTCAGCTCCTCTTCTTGTTGTCTTCTCAATCGCTCCTTGGCCAGCCGCTCCTTGGCTAACTGCTCTTCAGTTTTATTTTCCCCGGGGTCTAGAGTACCAGGTGGGCGCGGGGGTCGAATTTCCACTTCTTCTCCTACCCCACCAACAGCTCCCACTTCCCCTCCTCCAGAAGGTTCATTGCCAGTAACACCGCCTTCGTCCTCATCATCATCATCGTCATCATCATTATCATCATCATCATCATCATCATCATCATCGTCGTCGTCATCAACATCTTCTTCTTCTTCTTCTTCTTCACTTTCTGTAATATCACTGAGTGCTCCTCCCTCTTCAACCCGTTCAATAATACCTTCCTCAAATATTACCTGTAACTCAGGTCTTGCCCAATTTTGCAAAGGTCTATACGTCAAACGTATCGTTTCTTCAGCTATTGGTCTGATATGGTCTAAGATTTGAGCTGCAGTCAATCTCTTTTCTACTTCCATTTCTCTTGGCTTTTCAAGCTCTTTAGCCAAAACTTTAGAAAGATGTGGATCGCATAGACCCCAATTCGGCTTATCCTTTTTATCTTCCTTTCCGTCTACTTCAGTTCTCTTTGGTCGTCTACCTGAGTGCGACAAAATGTACAATGACATTCCGACACACCAAACGTCATATTTGGCACTTAAATAAGGTTCCTCGGGCGCTACGCACACCGTGTTTCCCGTGTCATGCCAGCGGAGCTCTCCATATGGCACATAGGTAGCTTCTCCAAAATCTCCAATTTTTACAGTTGGATATGTGTTTGCTTTCCCGGAGTTTTTCAAAAAAATGTTGTCCAATTTGATATCAAGGACAATAACTTGATTGCGTGAGTGAAATTCTGGTTTCTTATTGAGTTCGTGGTCACCATGAAGGAAACTAAGAGCGTCCGTTGTCTGCATATAGACATGCCAAATGAACGCTTCTGGTATTGCTGCGTGCTTGTATATTGTTGGCATATCTTTTGGTTTGTGAGTCCATATAGAACCCTCGGGCTCTCCTGTGCCCCAGCGTGGTGTATCATAGTACTGCTTCACAATATTTTCCAAATTCCCCCATTGACAATACTCAAAGATATGGCAGTGGCCGTTATCTTCTGGTTGTTCTAAGTCGAAAAAGGCTTCCAAGTTGCAGATAGAAGGATGACTAGAACGTATGTACTGCAAATAACATTTAGTTTCATTGAACCGTTTAGTTATTAAATGCCGTTCTTTCATAGCTTTTGCAGATCTCTTCGAAGCCTCAGAAGAAGGTGTGACAGGAGGAGTTTCGGCTCCCCTCCACGCTGGGGGTGTCATCATTGGCTCATCGTCATTTTCTCGCTTAAGCCTACAGGATTTAGAAGTCAGCAATGCCTGTGAACACTAGGCTTTGGAGGAAAAATGAGTTGTTCGTGTTATAAAGGTTATCAGAAGAGGTGTACAGGATGAAATATAAATGCGCTATTTGGAATCGAAGAATAAAAGGAGATAATAAAACCAAAGGGATTAGTGATTGCGTTAAGCTTACTGAGTCTTCATCGCATACTGAACCTTAGTCTCAATATTCTCAATAAGGTATACTGCTCCAAAACCGCCCTGACCGATCTTGCCTATGATTCTGATATTTTTGTTTGTGAACCCTGCGTTAGGCTTCCGCCATTTATTATGACGAAGAGGCGCAGTTGTTTGATGTATAGTACGCATAATCTCCACGGCAGCCTCGGTATCTTCATGAATTAATCTTCTCTCGGCTCTTGCCTCTCGTTTTCCCTTAGCTTCAGCACTTTCTGCCTTCGCTTTCGCTTCTGCACTCGCCTGCGCCTCCTCTTCTTCCTTTATTACTTTTTCATATTCCGCCATAAGATTATCTCCGTCAGCCTCTACATCAGCGATGATCTTAGTAAAAATCCCCCGTAGCTTTTGTTTAATTGACTCATCAGAAACATCTTGGCCTCTGATTATCTCCAAGACCTCATCGGTATAATCGAACTTATTCTTAGCGTCTGGCGCTTGCATTTTATACGATAGTTTGTTCTCTGTCGCATGTATGAGGGTTGAAAGGACGAGAGCGAGTCTCTAAATAGTCTTCAAAATAATTGTAAATTTGGTGCACAAAATAGAATACACAATATTCGTTTTAAATTCATTCACTGTGGAACACCTGATGTGCAGGCCGAGATTTCGAGAAATCTACGTTCGGATTTCGAGTTATTGTCAGAACTTTGGTTAAATCCAGAAAGATGATAGAGAAACCAACCTAGAATGCAGCAGATATTCAAGAAGTGGAACAAAGCCATAAAGGAAGATCTATGACCTTCGTCCAAAGTCTTTACGGATCAGCTTCATTGTCCTTTTGTATGGTCTTTGTTATCTAAAAACAATCGATGCTCATGGCATAGTGGTGTTGTTAAAGATTAACGTCTTTGTCAGTTTTGTAGTTGCATAAGAATATAAAAATGTTCAATTCCTTAGCCAGAGAAAACCAAGGTAACGCCAGCATCCAGAAATTCATAATTGCAACACCAGAGAACAATTTTTGGGTCTGGATGGGAAGTGTTGCCTGACGATTTTCCATGAACCTTGACAATCCTGGCCTGTTGTTTATCATTGAGTGAGAGAACCCATCTAATAGCTCGAATTAAGAGCTGCGGAAAAAGAAAGATGTAACAGTAACCAGCGTGTTAGCACCAAGAGCACGAGCGTAAAGAGCACCGAGATATTCTGCTGGCTTCCTCAATTTCTCAAAGTCGATACCGTGAGATCTTTTGAGAATCTGCTTCATTCTGGACAACTGCATCATGAACAATGCAATTGCATCAGCAAATTCCGTCCATTTCATCTCTTTTTCTGCATACCGAATCGACACATCCTTTGCGAGAGCAAGTTCTTGTATTACCCATCTCCTTGTAAATTAATCGTTTTTCATAAGATTGATATGATAATAAGCATCCAATTTTCCCAGTTATCTTTCCTGTCAACGAAGCGATCCAGTACCTCGAGATCTAAAATGCTTCCCAATAAACTGAATGTGCGCTTCAGACCATCAGTCGCGGCCTGCTCATCATTTATCCCAACCAAACACGAACACTCCTCGCAAATTTGTAGACTTCGTGTATTTAGCAACCTGCGTGGCCTTTTCCTTATTATTTGCTTGATTTATATAAATAGCATCACACCATAGATGCACCTCATCTTGATCCGATCTTAGTTGAAAGAGAGCTACTCAAAGATTCTCTTGAACAAACCTCGTGCTGAAAGGCTACACAGCATCCCAATCTTGCCCATATTCCTCGTTTTTGTGTATATAAATCTTGTGCAACGCATCGTCATCTCCCAAATGGTAGGATAAAGCCGTGTACTCGAGCTTAATAAATTCTGACTTAGAATTTCCATCAATGTCTGGTAGGGCGCTGGTCAATAAGACGTGAAAAATTGGAGAGTCTCTTCTGTCCAGTAGGATTCGTCAAACTCGAATGTTCTCGTTCTAATTTCTATCTTTGTTTTTGTGACGTCCCCTTTTTGTGGTAGCACGGAATTTATCGCATTTTGTAGGCGATTTCGAAAATTGTTAGCGCGAATCACTGGCTCCTGAAAAGCATTGTATTGACTTTGATATTGTACAGGCCCGATGTTTCTGCTCTGCTTTTTGGATCGGAGTTTGGCATATTGACTCTTTTCACATTGTCGCAAGACTATTCGTAGAATCAAGGCTTCGCACTCAATTTTATTTCTAAGGTTTCTCGTGTCAAGCAACCGAATCTTCGAGGCTCTGCTCTTGTAACTCCAAATCACGGAACACTGGTTACGGCCCGCGACGCCCGGTATGATCCAGGGTTACAGCAAATATCAGCAATGTAACCATCATAATTGTCAGCTGAGGAATTGTAGAATTGATAGCCACTCGTTTAAGCCATTCTCTAATATTTCGTTCGAATCGAAAATCCTTTGCCTAGCTGAAATAGCTTTTCAGCCCTTTTACAGGGATTGTTGCCATTCTCTTCCTTTCAGATATGCTGATAGGGAACAAAATATTCTATTGCACAACTTGCAATACTATTTGCAGTGAAATGATTGTGAAATAGCAAGTAGCTAGATTTTACCCCAACATTCTCCACTCCCAACAGGTTTCGAAAAAAGCAATCGTCTTCCTTAAGAAGGCAGGTATCAGACTTCTATTCCAATCGACAAGATATCGTATCGATTCCCTTCTTCCCCAGTCTACTTCTCTTTAGCTTCACAGTCTTCTGACCATCACCTGTTTGATTTATTTTAGTATGGCCTAATATTTGTCGATCGACAACTGATATTTAAATGAGAAGAACGAGGGAAGTCCACTTACTTAACATTTGCTATGCGGGGCAACAATCCTCATTCAGCTAAAGACTCCTTCTTGGTATCTGTGGGCTCCAATGCCACATATGCACATGGTCGTCTATCCGGTAATTTGTTGGGATGTATTCATCTTCGTTGACAATGCTATGAGATAATTTGCGAATCCCTCCTCGTCGCCCCAAGACCTTGAATTGTTACCCAAATACTAAGGACAATAAGAAGAACATTATATATCTAGCTAAGTAGATATGACTATCTTAATGCTATTTTGCTTATTCCAAATGTTAACCAACTAATACCTCTTCATAGCTTTCCATACCTGACTTTGAGGAGAAGCGGCCTTCTCACAAAGCCAGTAAATACCAGAACCTGGGACTGGGAGCATAGAAGGTAACTAATTTGCCGTTAGCTAAAGTGATAAAGAGCTTTAGTCTTTGCCCATTCGGAGCATGATGAATAACGAAATCAATGCCTTGGAATTCGGCTTGCAGATATTTGTATATTAATTGCCGGCTTCAACCAACGAAAGATCCTCAGACGAGTCGGATGTGACCTTTGTCACGATGTGTCTACATGATGCAGACCGAGTGCTCGAATATGGAGGTGATTCTGTCTGACTAGTATTGGGGTTCACCTTCAAAAATATTTTCTTTGTCCATATTTATCCCGCTCTCGTGTCTGTGCCATACTCGGATAATACTCGGAGAATGCCTTTCTGGCGTATTGAAACTATGTTCTGACTACTATATCGAGAAAGACATCCCACCTCCGTCCGACAAAGCACTCCTCATTCTTCTCTCCCTCCCCCCTTTTACGATCGGCAATAAAATCCGGATGAACAGTGAAATCAACCACATGTCCCAGCCCACCCACGAATTTCTCCTAGGCTACATTACTTGAGGCGACTACATCCTCCTCTTTCCCTAATTTCTAGCCAGAAATCTTTCACAACTTCTTCCCACAAACTGGCTTTGGTATCATGATGAAATTTGCCGGCCTCTCTGATTCCAAGATCTCATGTGCGGGCGGTACACTGGGAGTCTTTATTGTTCCTAGGAAATGGAAGAAAAGCATACTTTTCCGCTTTCAAAATTACATCAAATGCTTCATTAGGGATCACAATACTTATTCGTGATGTCTCTAATAGATGCCTGAAAAAAGATACCAGTAATATAGACCAGCCCCAATACCAATAGAAGTAAAATTCTGTAAAACCCGCCAGAAAATACATAAAAATATTGAAAGAGAACTGCAAGCAATCCTATTTACCTCTGACAAGTCCGAAAATATGGCGTGAACAAGTGTCCATAGGTAGAAACACGCTGCAGACTGCTTATCTATGTAAAGGATGACCGAAGATAGGCCGGACTTACAAGTTCTATTTCGAATCCCACTTTAGATGAATAACTTAGACAGATCACTCGTGCAAAACTTCTTTGCAAACTGTTGCTGCAAAGCTAGATAGGAGGTACGGTCGTCGACGCACCATACTTCGATAGTAGACGCCTTGTCCTACCTTGAGGGCTTCCTCTTCCGCATGGGCAAATATAATGTATCATTCTTCTATAATTAGAACCTATCTATACAATGAAAGAAGGAGAGAGTCCTCCATTTATGCGTGCCGATGCACAGTCAGGCTTGAGGGGTACCAAGGTATCAGCCACCCCATCGTCGAAAGTATTGCGATTCCCGAAAGAGTAATGATCAGAATTTAGACATGCAACAAGACAACAAACATACAACCTCAATCTCATTCATCAATTTCGTATACACTCGAATAGGAAATGATTGATTTTCAGGTCCGCAACAAAATAACAGTGTTACCTCAAAGTTCGGGCCTAGACCTCCTCAGAATGAGAACACGGAAGGCCCGTGATTCAAATGGGTAATCTCCACAGCCGATCGATTTCAGAAGATCTGCAACAAACTTCACTCGCAGCCGAGCACAGGCGACCCGTCCCGAAACTGGATTGAATAGAGAAGATCAAGCGATTAGACGTGCAACAAACAACAAAAGGTGGAGATTTAAGCAGCAATGATTTGATGGCTCTAAGCGAGCTGTGCAAATCAGGAAAACAAATGATTAAGTTGGATGTACAGCCAAGGCGAATTCCATGTCAGGAATCTGACGGTTTCGTACTTGTGTAGGCGAGCTGTAGCAGAAAGAGAAAATTTCCGGAAGAATCAAGCGATGAGATTTGCAACAAAGGAAGAAAGGAGTATACAAGCTGAGGTATGCAATTTGACTGGATTGGGTGACACGGAGACGATCATGGTTTTTTAGATGTGCAACAAAGGACTTGCACTCGACATTCGGACAATCTGGTATCGAAATCGCCGGAATCAAATCCTGGTTGGCTTTGACCCAAAAAGGTTGTAAGATTGCAACAAAACAAAAATATGCCTCCGTTTTAGGCGATGAATCTCCGAGTGTATCTAGATTGGGAGATTGAGAAAGACGATCTTAAAAATCCAGATATGCAACAAAAAGTTGTGTAGTGTGTTTCTTCTTCAGAGAAGATCTAAATGAGGAGAAGAACGAGGAACATCGAGCTATCAGGTCGGCAACAAAACAATGTGGTGTGGAAACTCATTTCGGACACTGACCAAATGCGGCCATGTTCGAAGACGATCAAGATTTTTCAGACTTGCAACAAAAGTCTGAGAAAGATCTTCCTCATACTTTACAGTAGTGATTAGAAAAAATGGCGATCAATGTAAGATGTGCAACAAACATTCCAACATTTTAATCTCGGAGTTGGCTGTTGCGAGATTGTAAGAATGTTCTCCTGAAAAGGGAATTCACGATAGACGATCGTATATTTCAGATATGCAACAAAAGAGAATGTATGGCTCTAGATTACTAAAGACCCCCAGAGTTCTCCGATCCAAATAGGAAGGCAATGATAGCTGATCACTTCAAAAGATATGCAACAATAGAATTTCCTTGCTCGCCTGGCTTAAAATTTGTCCAAAATGGGAGTTTTCAATTAAAAGCGTGGTTCCAATGATCTGCCAATGTGGCCTGATTTTCTTGGACGAACGGGGAATACGAATTTCATGATTTAGACGAGTCTAGATCTTTCGCTAGCCGTCGGGTTTACACCAATCAAATGTTGTCATTCGTGGTAGAAAGCTGGTTTTCTAGTTCAAATAGCAATTCTTGTCGATATGCAACAAATGCCATGCCCACCACCAAGAATGTCGGAATTCCATGCTTTAGGTCATTTGGAAGCTTTGATTCTTCTAGTGCACATGGTCAGTTGTTTGTATTAGGCGCCTTTAACGAATGTACGGAATAGCCCGTGGCCCACGGGCTGTGGCTGGTTTGAAGCTAATGTAGTCACATTCAAGATATTTGGAATTTGAAAGTATAAATCTAAGTTCAATCAATTCGAAATTTCGAGTTGTTGATCACAACTTCCCTTTATTTCCTCCCCTCCTTCATTGTGCGTCGCGTGTGTTGATCATTTGCCCTTTCACAACAACCGTGCTTGCCGAAGGATGTGCAGTTTTACAAAAAAGAAAATTGATTGATCGGCGGAGACCCCGCCAAAGGATGGGCAACTCTCGGATAATCGGATTTGAAGCATAACCCTGTGACCGAGTGTGGCTAATCTGCATAACAACCAATTATATATTAGATATTAGATATCAAACCCTTCGGCGAGGGTGGCTTAGATGTAGTATATATTCAGCCAGTTAGAGTGGATTAGACGTCGACATTAGCATACGATGCTTTGTAGCTACAGTGTCGGAATAGGACAGCTAAACGATTGACGATGGCATAGTCCTATCATTTCAAGGTTTGTCATTCGCAGAATGGAGATCAAAATTTCATTTTCTAGTAACGATATACCTCTCCCAAGTATTCATCAATCTCTAAAGTTTGATGTGATACTTCAGATCAATCTCCTTCATCTTTCGGATAATATCATCGAGAGGTTCCAAGGTTTCCTTTATAACCTCATGAAATAAGGACGTGAGATCACGTCGAACCAGAATCATGGGTTCGTGGCTTACGATCAGACTGTGATCAACGAACACACATATCCTATTGTCGCGTCAAATGACATCCATGTGTGTTTCGACCACAAAAAGGTAATGGCAGTGTGCAAATCCAGCATGATCTCTCTTGCGTGCACCGCGGAGATTCTGGAATCTCCAGTTCATGCTGATAATGACTACAAATCATCAATAGCCATGATTGTGAATAAGATCAACTCTATGACCTGAAGTGAGTTGTCAGAAATTAGCCTATCGACGATGCTCATTGCAAAGCAACAACATACCTATAACATATAACCTCGTATATTCCAGAAACCGAGTAAAAGTAATGACATCGCAGAGGTATATATACTTTCAACGTGGCTTTGGTTTTCGAATCACAACCTTTGTCCCTTCTAATTGCCATCCAACGCTATACGCCTCGGTCAAAACACTCCAACTAGAATCGGTAAGTTGCTCCAGACAATCTAAATCGATACTGAGGTACGTTTTCCCAATCGACTTTAAAGCATGCAGCTTCATCTCCTCCCCCGCGAATTCCATGATCTTTGCCTTATAACCATTAACCTCCCTCTTTACCTTCCAAAATAGAAAGTAATTATCGTGGGCAATCGCTTTCAAAACTTCGTCGACTTTAGGGTCTCGTAACCCGAGTGCGAGTCTGATGGAGTATGCCTTTGCCAGGTCCGATTGCCTGCAAGCCAAATCTAGCACTTGGTATGCTGCAAATTCCTGAAGTTCGGTGGTTGATAATGGAAGTTTTGGGTGCATTACTTGAAGTAGATGGCGCATTGCTGGATGGTACGATTCCCAATGTTTCAGCAATATTGACAAGCGTATGCAAAATATATATGCTTGGATGGAGAAATCATCTATTCGTTTCGATGCCACGATACCTTCTCGAAGCTTTCTCATTCCCATTGTTATAGCGTCGAGTTCGTTTGTATCGGGTTTGCTATTGATAAGATCTGCGGGGTTTGGCACTGTTTGTGTTGTTGGAGCAGCATCGCGATTCGCATTATCTTGTGCAATGTTCAGGCGTGCAAGCTTTCGGTTCAATTCGTCTCCTCTGCGAGCATCGGCTGCAAATATCAAGTATCGTTCGACTATCTTGTTGTAGAACAGTTCCTGAGTTTTATAGTCAAGGAGCCTGGCGGGGTAGTAAGTAAATAAAGACGGAAGATAAGATTGGATGCAAGGACGTACTGTTTATCTCCCTTGGATCTTAAGCCCATCTCCTCGAAAATATCCTGCTTGACGGGCTTTAGCCGACTCCATGATGGGTTACGTCCACCTTTGGTCGACATCGAGAAAGAGAACAAATATCGACAATGATGCTTGTTTGATGTGATGTCTGTATTTGATTTGCATGAGTGAAAATGAACACTGTCGGGCTTAGCTTCAATGCCCCTTCGTCATCAATTGCTGCTTTAAGAAGGAACTCCCAACATTATTTTTGATGAATCTGATAAGAATTTCAATACCTAGGTAGTTATCCCAGCTTTATCCATAAGCATGATAGATTTAGTCTATCAAATCGGTCGTTTACTCCTTCAGTCGTGATTTTACCTGTACCGATTGACTTGATTTCATTTGAAGGCACTCGTAAGCACAACCTCACTCACTGGCATTAAGATGTCCACCCGTCAACGAAGACCATCGACGACATCGACCACAGAACTTCTCTTCGAAACAGCCAAAAATCTTGAAAAGAGAGTCGAAAATTCTCTTACAGTCCTTTGGGATGATCTCCCCTCGTGGCAACAAGACAATCATTACATTAGATCTGGTTATCGACCAGCAACATCATCTTTCCAAAAGTCCTTTGCATCCCTGGGTTACATTCACAATGAATCAGTCAATATCTATTCGCACTTGATTGGAGCCGTAGTATTCACACTTTCGGGGTTTCTCTTACATGCAATCATCAAGCCTAGATATGCGTCCGCTGAAGTCGCTGATGTTCTAGCATTTAGTTGCTTTTTTGCAGGAGCTGCTTTATGTCTTGGGATGTCCGGGACTTATCATACCATCTCTAATCATTCTCCCACTGTTGCTAAGTTTGGCAATAAGTTAGATTACTTGGGCATCGTTTCTCTCATCACTGGGAGTGTTATACCTGGGATCTATTATGGTTTGTATTGTCATCCACATCTATTCGAATTTTATTCCACAATTGTAAGTCGTTTCTACAAACAGCATTCAATTTTCACTTGGCTCATTACACATTCAGACGGGTGTACTTGGAGGTATTTGTGCAGTTGTAGTCATGCTTGAAAGGTTTAGAACTCCTGCTTGGAGACCCTATCGAGCAGGTATCTTTGTGGCTCTGGCACTTTGCGGAGCTGTTATTCCAATTATAAATGGAATACAACTTCATGGATTCCATGCAATGCGTGAACGGGCGGGCTTGACATGGTTGCTACTCGAAGGATTTTTTTACATTCTTGGTGCTTCTTTATACGCAGTAAGTATTCCAAAGATGTTTGAGGGAATTATTATCTGATAGCAACTAGGCCCGATGGCCTGAACGGACCTCACCAGGTTCTTACGATATTTGGGGAAGTTCTCATCAAATATTTCATATGCTTGTTCTTGCGGCAGCTGCTTCACATTTGTACGGCTTGACTATAGGTTTCGATTATTATCATAACGGTCTTGGACTGAAATGCTGAATCTCGAAATGTTGGTTGCGGGATCTATATGTTTGGATGTCACGGATGATTTCATTCACCTGTCGATTGGATCTTAGTCTCCAAGTTGAATGCGTGGTAGAGAATTAGACGCGAAAAGGGATGAGAATAGGGGCTTCGGTATAGATAGAAGATGGTTTAGCGTGGTACTCTAGTTGGTCAAGAAATTAGCCACATTGATAGACGTAGATACTTATGTAGAACCGGACTAGAGAACTATGCAATGCGCTCAAGTAATCAAAATTGAAGGCGGGACTTTCGAACGGTTAGGAAAAAATAGCTCGAGATCCAAAAATAGAAATTCAGCATGCCTCGGTCCGGCAATCAAAAATCCGGGGAAGCTGTCGTTCCCCGCCTTAGTTCAAACACTAGGAAACCTCACAAATAGAAACAAATTCCACCATTCTCGCTACCTCCGACTCCAATTTCCATTCTGATCAGAAAACACTACAATGGCGTCTCGTATTGCTCAAATTGCTGGTCATCTCAATTATCCCAAGGGATTACTTGCTGGTCAAGTAGCTATAATTACCGGTTCTGGTCAAGGTATTGGTGCGGAAACTGCGAAACTCTTCGCGAATGAAGGAGCCAAAGTGATTATATCTGATATTGATGGCGGTCCGTACCTTTCAATTCGCTATTTCTCAATGACACTAAGACTGACCTAATCTCCCCTACAGCCAAAGCCAAATCCGTCGCCGACGAAATCAATTCCGCAGAAAGCGGCCGCGCAGTCGCAGTTCCAGGCGACATGCTTGATGCCGAGTATCTCAAAGTACTTGTGAAAAAAGCTGCAGAATTTGGAAACGGAAAAATTCATATAATAGTAAACAATGCGGGATATACATGGGATGGCGTAATCCACAAAATGACTGACAAACAATGGGAAAACATCTTGGCTCTCCACAACACCGCCCCTTTTAAACTCATCCGCGAAGCAGCGCCCTATTTTCGCGTCACAGATGGTGAACCGAGATGTATAGTAAATATATCTTCTACATCAGGTGTTCATGGTAGTGCCGGCCAGGCCAATTACGGAGTTGCGAAATCGGGAATTAATGGACTTACGAAAGTGATTGCGAAAGAATGGGGTCCGAAGTTTGGAGTAAGATGTAATAGTATAGCATTTGGACATATATTGACGAGATTGACTGCTGCGAAAGAAGAGGGAGCTTTTGTGACAACGCCGGATGGAGAGAAAATTGCGTTGGGGATACCGAAGGGTCAGGGGAGTCAGGGTAAAGATGCGAATTTGGATATTCCGTTGAGGAGGGCGGGTACGGCAGAGGAAGCGGCGAAGAGTATTTTGGCGGTCGCGAGTCCGTTGTTTGGGTATGTGACGGGGCAGGTTATTATGGTTACGGGAGGGAGAAATATGTAGGTTTATTTAGGTATCAGAAATGATGTGTTGTTTTGCTCCGGGGTATAGTTGCTTTACTTATGCTTGAGTGAACATACCTTTTGAAAATGGGTCATCATTTTTTCGAAAATTTCGAAGAAATTTCTATCGATTCCCATGGTTTCCCGATTCGATCTTTTCCTTGATAGGCATAGGAATTTCAAATAGAACCACGCAAATCGGCACCTGCTAATGAAATAACTCAAAGATAATTCTCTGTGGTCAGATATATAGTCTTTGTGAGGGCCCAGCTCGAAGCGGAGGCCATAAACAAAAACCCGTGCATCAGTCCCTAAAATATTTCTTTGCATATTTAAGATTCTGTTAAAAAGACTGTATACAAATCATACAACAAAACTATACCCGTGACTTCAACGATTACAATCAGCATGTTGACTTCATGGCGCTTGCCAAATACTAACTTAATTCTCGTCAAATGAGATCCTATAAACTCCAAAGACTAGAAACATCTAGATCCAGCTAACATGAGTGACACTATTGAGACGGTCTTGAGGAAAAGTCGTCGGTTCCGACTTTGCTGAAACGAGACCAGGAAAAGTCACAAGCTTTTAAAGTCAGTGCCTTAGTCTTGTTGATCTCAGGTGGAAAGTTTCATTCAAATACAAGGTTGCAACCCGGAGGTTTGGAGATACTTGGGATGCAATTGATCGTGTATCTATCTTCCATCCATCGACTTGATGGTAACGAACGCGATAGCGACGCGGCGGATGTGCTTACTAAGCGAGCCATATCGGATTGTCAATTTTGTGGACACGGTGCACCTGAACCCCATCGAGCTCCACGAGAAGTCAACAACTACACTCCTTTATTAACAACTTACAATTTTAATTGAATTGTCCCGATCGATTCTCGACACTTACCTTCCTTTACCTACAATAATAATCATCCAAAATGGCACCCAAAGCAACCAAAGACAAATACTCTGTAATCCTTCCTACCTACAATGAACGTCGCAATCTTCCCATCATTACATGGCTTCTCAATCGCACATTCACCGAGCAGTAAGTTCGCGCCAATTGCTCGCCCCCTTGTGCGCATTGATTTTTCCAGGCGGCAGCTAATTGCATTACAGAGGACTCGATTGGGAACTCATCATCGTTGACGACGGTTCCCCCGACGGAACTCAAGTCGTCGCCAATCAACTTGCTAAAGCTTACTCCCCTCACGTTCTCCTCAAGGCTCGCGCCGGCAAGCTTGGTCTCGGAACGGCATACGTACACGGTCTTCAATTCGTAACTGGGAACTATGTTATTATTATGGACGCGGATTTCTCTCACCACCCCAAATTCATCTCCCAAATGATCGCGAAACAAAAGACGCTTTCTACAAATGGTGGATATGATATTGTTACTGGTACAAGATATGCCGGTGATGGAGGTGTATTTGGATGGGATTTGAAGAGGAAGTTGGTTTCCAGGGGTGCCAATTTATTTGCCGATACCGTTTTGAGACCTGGGGTTAGCGATTTGACTGGAAGTTTCAGACTATACAAAAAAACGGTTTTACAGAAGGTTATTGAAAGTACAGAAAGTAAGGGATATACTTTCCAGATGGAAATGATGGTTAGAGCTAAGGCCATGGGATGTACGGTGGCCGAAGTACCAATCAGCTTCGTGGACCGTGTTTACGGAGAGAGTAAATTAGGTGGTGATGAGATTGTGGAATATGCAAAGGGTGTCTTAAATTTGTGGATGAAGGTTTAGGTTTCAGGTGTACGTGGATATATTGTATGCATGGTGGATGGAGTTGGTGGTTTAATTGGGATCTATAATGGTCGGATCTTAGTTCATGGAATTTGATGATGTATACTATCATACGGTTGGACTGGTGCAATTTTGACAATGAAACTTCCTTTTCACTCAGCAGTCGAGTGATTGCATTTCATTCAAGTTGTGGGGTGATATTTCACCTTTTTCGCTATCATTCATGAGTCTCCACCGACCCCTTTCACTGCTGGCTTAGTATGAACAATTGAAAAGTGGCATATCGCGACAACCGACATAAATTATTTCCCAGTTATTATGCCATCCGCAAGCTTCTCGGCAATCATATAAACAGAAGCTTGGGGATGTCCAGGAAGCGCAAAAGGGAAGATAGAAGCATCGACGACTCTTAACCCGTCTACTCCAAATACCCTTCCCCTCGAATCTACAACCGCATTCGTATCTCCAGTTTTACCCATTGCGCACGTAGCACTAGCATGCCACATTGGAGCCGAATTCTGTTGGATATACTCTAAAATTTCTTTGTCTGTTTGTACCGCTACTCCTGGGAGTATTTCAAGCCCTATCTTAATAGACTTAGCTGGGTCGCTGTCCCATATCTGTCGAATGCGTTTGAATATTGCGACTGCGACTTCAGAATCTGCAGGGTCACTGAACCAACCAAGATCAATTACCGGTGGATCTAACATGCTAGCGCTCTTGATAGTGATATTGCCTCGGGAAAGAGGAGCTGTAAGTACTCCGCCAAAAGCACCAATTGTAGAGAAATCGTCACCTCCAAAACCTGCTCCTACGTATTCTGCTTCTGGCCAATCAGATGGGAAATAATTCAGTGATGATATTGTCTGTTGTGAAAAGTTTCCTCGCAGTGCTTCTGGGATGTTTTCGAAAGATAGGTAACCGGCCGACGAGCTGTATGGCCCACCAGCATCTTCGTAATATTGTTGCAATATCTCGGCAGAGTTGTTTGGATTTGCTACAATACTTCCAGCACTGGGTGTGTGTACTTGGTTGAGTACAGTGAATGAGACTTGATCCCACAGATTTTGTCCTACTCCTGGAAGTTCTGAAATCAATGGGATGCTTTTCTCCTCGAGTGTAGGACGCGGACCAATTCCTTTTTCAAATTAGCATCTTATTCTTAATTTTGAGAGTAGTTTCTCACCAGATACCATAAGTAATTGTGGCGAGTGAAAAACTCCTGCGGATACAATGACTTCTTTATTCGCATGAATAGTGTATTGAAATCCTGCTGTCGATACTTGAACGGCATTCGCTCTTTTTGCTGAATCAGAAGCGAAAAGGATCTTTAAGGCTTGAGTATGGGCATGCACCATGATATCCGTATTCTCAATAGCTTCTTCTAAGAAGCTTGACTGCGAAGATGATCGTACAGCACTCTTGGGTTCAATGGTGGAAGGGACCCAAGCACCATGACCCGATAAAGAACCACTACTGAAGCCAGCTGAACTTACTGGAAGACCAATAGACTGTATAGCTTTCGCAAGTGCACTTATCGTAGGGTCTACCCAATTGTTCCAGGAAACTTGTAGAGGTCCTCCAAAAGAGTTATCAAAAGCTGTGGAGTCATACACTACAGTTGCAGACGTCGAGTTTCTTTTTACAGCATCAGGTGGAGTCAACTGACAAGACTTCTTGTAATATAGAAGAACATTCTCAAAAGTGAAACTCTCATCTCCTACAAGTTCAGCCCATCTTTGATATGTACCAGAAGTAGCACGATGGTACGATAACGAATTCAGTGCTGAAGATCCTCCCAGTGTTTTTCCTCGAGCATAGTGTATTCGCCGATTCCCAGCATTCACCTGTGGCACAGAAAACAAATCCCAGTCAACGAGTGGTTGCTTAGGATAATCTTCAGTTGAGTACACCAGAGGCATTTGAAGGCTTCCATATGGGACGATGCTGTAGTTTCCATTGTCTTGTTCGTAAAACCCACCTGCTTCAATCACGCCAACAGATGCTATTTCTGCGAGCCTTGATGCAATGACCAATCCTGCCGTTCCACCTCCGACCACTGAATCTATCAGCTTATATTCTTTAGGTACTGAATGATCTCACATACCAACATAATCATAAGTAGCATTTCCGGGAACTGCAAAAGCACTCGAACGAAGTCGATGTTGAGTTTGTGTAGTACCAGCTACAGATTGTATGAGCACAGGTAATATTGAAATCCAACCACGAAACATTGGATTCATTCGTCGTATTGAGAAAGGTCTATCAAGCGTCAATCGTGAAGTTCATGAACTTGTATATTCATTTTGCTGTCTTGGGGGATATTTTGACCGGGCAAAATCCCCCCACTGCCAAGTGTCAGCAGTACATCCGGATAATATCCTGCGACAAATCAGATCATCGAGGAGTGCTTTAATACCACAGTACTAAGGTTATCTGAAGTATTAAGAACGAGCTGCTCCACAGTTTATACTGTACGCGACTTGCAAGCCGTTCGCAATATATCAAATATTACTAGTACCACAATGTCGACAAGTAGATTTCACAAGATGACAAAATCCATCTCACTGAATTACTCTCTGATCGCTGGCTCGATCATTTCGCATGAAAGTCTTCAGGACGCGCCAAGTTTGGCTGGCTCCATTCAGTTCTCGTCATGAAGGCCAATAGAATCACATTGTATGCTTCCCAGGCCCTGTTGACAAGCATCAATCTTCATTAAATGCTTGTAACAAATTCATCTTTCCATCTTTGAAGTCAGAATCCATACTGTCATTGTTTGATCTGTAATGAATCACCACATCCAATTTCAAAGTATTCAAACTGATGTTTCGAGAGACATCGTCATGCCAATTTTCGTGGTGTCCGTGCACCCACCGATGGCCACTAGTGTGTTTAACCTTAACCCCTTCCTCAAGGTCCTTAACTTAAAGCTTTCTACAATCATCTACTGCAAATCATATTAGTATTCTTACTAGACATCAGATTGTTTCCAAGACTTTAATATTAATCGACGTTCGATGATCTCCCAAAATAGCACTCCGTATTCCTTTTGGTGCTGATATTTCTCCGTTTGTTGAGCAGATATGGTGCTGACACGCATACCATGGGTCCCTGGGAAATTGCCAGTGACGAGAATATCATCCTTCAGTGGCTTTATAAGTCTAATGACTTCCTGTCATGAAAAAAGTATTGAATCTTTAAATTCTTCGAAGTCTATTTTGCAGGCAAAGGATATTCGCCCAACTATTTGGTTGGACGTTTTCCCAATACAGGTTTTTGTCAGTTTTGCACTCAGCATCGCATTTGACCACTTAAGCTAGATATTTTGACGCCGATAGATTGAATAATGACTCAATCATCTCTGAAGAAACAAGTTCGGCAAGGAGATGACAATGTCAAACCTATCAAAAGTGTAAAGAAAGATGCAACTGAAAAAGCTGATGACTTTGCAAGGGAACATATAACTGGTGGATGGCGACCTGGTATGGATCACAAGGTGGATGACTCCGGTCACTTTGAGTTCGGAGGATCACTTGGAGTTCTAGCTCTCATGATTGGTTTCCCTACTCTAATGTATTACATGTGGATTGGCGCTATATATTATGATGGCAAATTTCCTCTACCCACCGAAGGACAATCTTTTACAGACTTTGCGAAACATCTCCTACATTTGGTTTACACCAGAGCTTTCCCTCATTTCAGGGCATGGCGCATATACTGGACCTATTACATTTTTGAAGTTGCATGCTATCTGTTTATGCCTGGCTTTACATGTTTCGGCAAGCCTCTGCTTCATGAAGGTGACAAACAGCTTAAATACTATTGTTCGGCATAGACTAACTTCTACCTCACAATCCTCGTTATGACTCTTCTCCATGCAACAGGTATCTTTTCCATCAATACTATTTTCGATGAATTCGGTCCTATACTCTCCGTAGCAATTCTTTCAGGCTATCTCATGAGTTTTTACGCTTACTTTTCAGCCTTTGCCCGCGGTGCCCAACATCGCATTACTGGGTATCCTATCTATGACTTTTTTATGGGTGCTGAACTAAATCCCCGGCTATTCGGTATACTAGACTTCAAAATGTTTTATGAAGTCCGAATTCCATGGTTCATTCTGTTCGGATTAAGCTGCGCGACCGCTACACGCCAGTACGAACAATATGGCTATATTTCCGGAGAAGTCATGTTTCTCGTCATGGCACACTTTGTATATGCCAATGCTTGCGCAAAAGCAGAACATCTTATCACTACCACGTGGGACATGTACCAGGAAAAGATGGGATTTATGCTAACATTCTGGAATATGGCTGGGTACCATTCTCATAATGTCATTGCACGCTATATTTTGCGAGCCAGGATCCAGCAAAATACGCATGGAACAGATATGCGCTTACGGCATTCTTTGTTTTTTATATATTTGTTTACTGGGTATGGGATACATCAAATGGACAGAAAAACTATTTCCGAATGATGGAACGTTGCACTTTCGTTAAAAGAAGGACCTTTCCACAACTTCCTTGGCAGGAAATCTACAACCCCAAAACCATTACATCTGAAATTGGTGATACAATTCTTGCGGATGGATGGTACGGATTGGCTCGAAAGGTTCACTATAGCTGTGATTTGTTCTTTGCTATTTCCTGGGGTCTGATCACTGGCTTTGATAGCCCTTTCCCTTGGTTTTATTCGGTGGTTTTCACCGTCATGATTATGCATCGTGCTATGAGGGATATTACTAAATGTAGACACAAATATGGTGATTCTTACAGGTAGTATGAGAAGCAAGTACCTTATCTCTTCATCCCGGTAAGCTCTAAATGACGCCCCGTGTAAATGACCTCTAGCTGACTATCTATCAGCACGTGATATAATTTTCGCATGCGTCATTTGATTATGCGGTGATCGTCTTTTAAGGGCCCAGACATGATGCATAGCATTGATCATATTTGTATACAGTGCTCTAGGCCTGAGGTCACCAGCAGCTCTTATCAGCGACTCTACGTATACTTAACTCGTCAAAGTATTTCATACGAGCCCTAATGTTGTTCTTTCAAAAGAACGGATTCACAAGAATGGCTTAGTATTATCACATAAAGAAAGCCTCAGGGTATGGGCAGGGCGGTTAGTTGAATTGTTTATTAAGCATTGCATGAAAGAATCAAAGGCTAGAAGACCAAGACCGACATCGACACAATGAATGGAAAATGCTCCTGAGCGACTTCAAAAGATCACCCTTTGACATTTCCTGCTTTTCTTTCTTCATCTGATCATTCAATGTATGTCTTTTCCACGTTACACAACATTCGGCCCTTGGTAGCAGGATGATAAAATAATGAATCTATCTCGCTTAAGTAATTCTAAACAGACGAGCACTAGCTCTCTTTTCATTGTCATATAAATATTTATTTTTCTTTCGACCATCACTTACCCATAGCTACCATGGATCAATGCTGAGAACATAGCCACTAGTAACTAACCCTCATCAACAACGGAGAAAGTTTGCAGCAATCCGTTCCCTTGCGCCTCAAAGCCCGTACATCCATACCCTTTCCCACCCAAACCAATATACAACCCCCCTACCCCCCCCAGAATCTAACCCCAATCCTAGCAAGTCTCGCGATATCGCGAGAGTCTAAGGACATACACCAAATCCCTAACTCTTTCCTTACGCACCCTATCACTGGAAACCCCGATCTGCAGTCTGCAGATCTTCTGAAACTTTTGTTTTCGAAACTCGCAGTGGGGGGTGCTTATAAAGCAGGTGTTGTGACAAAATATGTATTTAATGGGAGATGTCTCGGTTCCAGAGTTTGAGTCGAGATGGGTTTGGTGGTTTGGTATCGAGATGCTGTTAAGATATAGTCTACGCATCGCGTGAGTATGTTTTTCTCATCCCTGGTAGGAAAATCCATGGGCTGTGAATTTATCAGCAACGAAACCTGGTGTAAAGATACTTGATTCGTTGGAGTGTGAGAGGAAACATACGCGTGTGTTCTTAGTACCTTCTTCGCTAGCCGTTTCGACTTTTATCTAACCACTTATTTTAGCTATACCCGACTAATATTTCCCTCGACTATCTCCAAGCTCTTCCAGATATCAAAAGCATAATCACAAAAGCATTAAAACACTACCTAGACGATATTACATTTCTCCATTCTAGGACGCCGCAACATCCGCATCCGAAAGGAATCGAAGATTCATATACAAATAATCCTTTTCCAATGATATCAGGTGGATAAAGGCAGAGATGGGAATGGTATGGAAAGATCATATCCCTAGGCCTCAGAATTCCATCCCAGAACTAAAAAATCAATCAAAGCCGCTAATGTAGCTCTAAAAAAATGGTCATAGGTACTTCGAATTCGGCATTCTACTGTAGCTGTATCAAATTTAGATGAGGTGTCTTATGGTATATTCACAAATCAAGATATACATAAAAGTGATATCCTAATCGAGCCTAACGCCATTTCATCAATCAGTAATTTACAACTACTGTAAGACACAATTTCAAGTTAACCTATTCATTACTAGGCGAAGCGAATATCAAATCAAAACCTTCTCCAGGAAACTATTTCAACGGTTGCGGAATCTTAAACAACTCTATCCCCCCCCCCCCCCCCCCCCCCCAATATAGATTCCCATATTATTCGCACCTCTACATCTGCATTTTCAACTGCAAAAATCTCGCAAAGCAGTACAACATTATCACGATGTCCTCTGTAACACCAACATACCGCATCCATACCTTCTCCAAAAACAAGAACACTCGCATCTCTAGACCCGAAATCGCTGGAATAATCTGATTACGACTTTAGCGATACGTAAACAAAGTTATGAACATCCTCTTCACCATCCTCTTAATGCCAATCTAAGTAATCACGAAACCGCTGCACAGGATCCCTGATCCTCAAACATTCGGATCATCCAGCCAGCCTCTCAGAATTCTAAAGGAGCTTGGGATAGATATTCTCACGAACCGGTGGTATGTATGATATTTGGATATTAGCAATTCGGCGGTATATCTTACGGTTATCTATCTTTCCCACAGAAAATCATTCACAACCACAAAAATAACAGTAACAACCGATATTCCCTAACAGACAAGTATTCCGACAACTTAACAGGAGAAGATAATGCAGAAATTAAGTACAGATGCTAGGTTGATAGCTTCTACGCATTGCCCGATATTGAACCATAGTTGTGAATGAAGAACAGTACACACACATATATAGGACGTTGATGAGGCGACGGGCTCGAAATTTCAATACTGGGCTGAGACAGGAATAAAAAAAAAGGGGGGAAATATGTGTGTTCGTTATATTGAAATACTATCGCGATCAAAAATGGGAAGATGTCGCGCCTTTGCGTGATGAGATGGGTCGTCGGTGATTGTAAGTGTAAGAGATGTTTGGCTGGATAGTATGTCATAGTCCCTGTGACTAGGTACAGAGTATTTAGAATTATCTTCAGAGCAGTGAAATATCCGAACAATCGAAAGCATGTTTTATTAAACGAGGTAGTCTAAATCTTGATATATATCTTCTAATACGCATTAGTAATAATTATTACTTTTAAAGCTACCAATAAGTGATTCCTACCACTGAGGTTTACCAGTAGATATACTAACCGACAGGATATTACCAAAATGGACTTGTGAATATCTCTTGCTGTATCAAAATATCCATCTTGAGAATTCTTGAAATCATTTGTTAGATATGAAACAATCAGCATTTGAGTTTTGGTATCAAGCAATTGAAGAATGAATGTATCAAGAAATTTCACAAATTGGGAAGGAAGTGTTCTATCATTCCATGCAATCACTCACTGGTGATTCAAAAATAACACTCCCTGCCCCCACCCTATATGAAAACCCAAACGGGAAAAGACGAGATATCAATTTCCTTAAAGAAGAAGAAGAATAAACTAAGAAGCCAGCTTGGAAGTTCACGGTTTCAAGCCCATCCCTTTGGCTAGTTCAACGAGGTGAAAGAGACAAGAAAATTTCAGAGTTCATATACCACGACATTAAACTAAACAGGGGGAGTATGCGATTCCTTTCTCATTTTGTCAAAAGTAATCACCACCCCTCCAAACCCTTCCCAATCTTATAAAGTAGATTCTTTTCTCCACAGAAGAGCTGTATCTTGCTGCATGTGTCATCTAATGAACAGGTTGAGTCTTTAAGTTTCCTAAATCGAGCATCAAACTGCTAACTAGATAATGCGATACTACAGATCAGCAAGTCCACTTCATTATTAAGTGTCCATCTACTCGAAAGCGATTCATTATAGATGCAATTTGAAGACGGGCAGGCAGTCTATGACTAGCAACGATTCGATGAATTTTTCGGCAAGCCAGTAATAGACTTATGAATGCTGTCAACTCCGGGATAGTTTGACGCATGTGACATTGATAGAAGTAGGTCTCTTGATAGTAGAGTACTAGGTCAACCTAGGTAACTAATCAGTCAGAAAACTCATCTTCCTCGAGTGTAATCACGGGCTCTTGTAGATTGGTAAGCGAGTTTAGCAGAATCATATCTTCAAAACTCTCATCCAACTTTCTCTCCTCCAAAAGCCTCGAATTTCCCACCTTCCCTCACCACCCTCACCAACCCTGCACTCCTCTTATCCTTCGCATCCGCCTTTCTCTCCCTCTTCCTCCTCCACGTCTCCATATTCCACTTCGTGCCATGCGAAACACTATTCCTTGCATGTTTCTTGATATCCAACCACGGATCTCTCGGATCATCCCGCTTGTTGTATTTCCAATACGGGGTATCCGGGTTCGGGTCGCGTGAAAGCTGAGTCGGACGATGCATGATAAGCACTGTCGAATCCAGATTTGTTTTCACACTAGTCTCACTCTCCTCTTTCCAGCGCTGCGATGCTAACGCCAATTTCTCCGCGTCTTCTTCAAATTCCCGGAGGGTGCGTTCGTCGGTAGCCACGAGATGAAATCCTTTGCGGGGCTGTGCACAGTTCATGAACGAACCATCGCAAGTATTGAAGATCAAGGCGAGATTTTCCGCGGGACAGTAGCGGAGAAAACACGTGATATGACGGTATGAGAGACTTTTGTGAGAGTTAAAGAGGTTGGAGACATCGAAGATCCATTCATTGATACCATGATACTTTGGTAGGAGAATCTCATCAAGTAGGAAATTTTGTCTCGAGTACAAGACCTCAGGAAAACCTTTGTAGCGGAGGGAATCCGGAGTCTCGTAGAATTGAATATGAACCGATCGTAGGAGGACTTGTTCTGCGCGAGTATATAAAGGGGCGTATTTGAGAAAGGATTCCAGGGTTTGGAAAGTGAAAGTTTGGTTTTGCAAATATTCGTTTGGGAATCCTGATTCGATGTCGTTGTAAATTGTGCGACAGGTTAATCGCAGAGATTGAAGTATTGATTTTTCAGATGACTGTATGTATCGAGATTGCTTGATAGATAAAGCCTCGGTCCAGATGATATTTCGAAGTTCGGTGGAAAGTTTCATAATTCCCACCTTCTCAGGAGGTGAATGTGTTGGTGACATGGTAAATAGATAAGTTGACTTGTGATATTCGGGTTGTGAAAATCCGAGTGTTTCGAAGTAGAGAGACTTTGTCGAGGTAAAAGGTGATCTTCCGAGATAAGTATGGACTAAACTAGTGTTATCTGCAGATGATACGTCGAACAATTTTCTACCACAGTAAAAATTAACAAAAGTTGATGTACTTTGTTGCACGACTTATCGGATAGGTGAAAAGCAAAGTTGCATTGTTGAGGGCGGGACTCAGTGCTTAAATAGATCTACAGAGGAATTTTTAATATGTTGAGAAGACACAAATTCTCACCGTACAAAATTTCCCACGAATAAACCATGCCATAGACCGATCAAAAATCAAATTGAGCCGTGAGAGTCATTGAATACCCAGGTAGACGCGTCATATCCAAAAACTGTAGTGAATTCAACTCTTTTCACCTCGATTATGTCAATCTCTACCGAGGTCGTTAGCTCACTTATTATCGAACTCAAACGAAGATCCATCAGAAGCGTCAATCTTCTCTTCATCTATTCCATTCACTTTTTCTTTTATACTTCTTTCATTCGAGATATACTTCCATGGTTCAGATAGCCATGCCGGTACTAATACCGATTACCTCGATTTTGATGAACTATCGAGTACTAGTGTCGAGCCTATGTTTTCTTAGTTTTCTAACCTCATACAACACATCGAGGGGCTTTCATCCGCAGAACACTTCACGCACATGGAAGTAAATGATGTAGACGGTCTTAACAACCGAGCTGCGGTGTTCTAGGCCACGAGAATGTACTAACTCACTCATCAAGATACCGCCATGGACTTTCGGGCACAAAATATGAAGTGAATCATCAAGTCCATTTTCCACAAAGGTGTGCACTACTATGCGCTCCAGCTACTTACGGTAGGTACTCACACTAGGTACTTCAATCCAAGATCTTCAAGTGCCGATACAGTACCGAACCTTGGAAAGGCATACTTTGAGGCTGGTACCATGTGGCTGAAAATCAGACATGCAACAAATTAGAATATAGAATGCTTCGATTCCTTTCGATTTCATTCTGTGGAAGCAATGAGTTTTCTAGAACGTCAAATTAGGAGTTTGAATGCATAATATCATTCCTCCTCCCTGGCGTGACTGAGTAACATTCAAATCAGTCGATAGTCATGAGGTCGGGAATCGAACCATCATTCCAACGCATTCACTGATATGCTTCCAATGCTTTGAATGGTACGGGGTATTCCTGCGGAGGAAAAGGATTTCTGAGATCCTTCGTGTGATGTAGGTGACTTCTGTTACTCCTTTCAACTGAAAATTCGACAAGTGCCTTCTTATACTTAATGCAAGATGACCTAATTACTCGTCCACACTTGTCAAGGAAAGTTTTTACTTGCGGAGAAACGAGATGGGAAGATGTAATGAAAGCATTGAGTGACTGTGTCGGGGAAAGATGATACGAATATCCAAAGAAATTATGGAAAGGCAATCCCCAGGCTCGTCGACTTGGCAGAATGAAACATAATGAAGATCAGACAGGGTATTAACGTAAAGAGGAAGAGTTTATTTCTTGCAGACAGAAAGAGAAGTACGTCCTTAGGCCAACAGAGTCCAGAATAGTGAGTGCGGCTGTATGTGAAATATCTCGTTGTCTAAACCATCTAACATTACCCTATATTCCAATTTGTCTAAATGTTGAACACCATCTATGTCAAATCCGTATTGATGATGTATGCCTCTAGGTCTGAGAATATTGAATCTCAAAGAATTCGTATCAAAGTCAAGTTGTAGCTGGTGACCGGGACACCAAAACTTTCACAACTTTTCTCGCAGCTTTTTCCTATCCATCATAATGAACAAAGCTTTCCCAGTAGCCAACACCACTCCCTCACCATCCTCGATCGTAGCTTTCCCAAATATCTTCCTTCCCTCTGTCCTGTCTACCCAACTTCTCCCCAACACAACCCCAGGTGTCCCGATTGGTTTTTTATACGTAATGTGTAGATACGCCGTCACAGTAGTCTTATTTCTTGGCCTGACGATTGACGCTGCACAACCGATCATATCATCCAGCATGACTCCAGTGAACCCGCCATGGGCAGTATCAATATGTCCATTGACATGCGCACCCAAACTCATCAGTGCCAGAACTTCGCCAAACGAACGCGAGGAGTTGGGCGGAGAGTAGAAGAATTGACAATGCGAGATAGTGTCTGGGGTCTGAAGGGTAATGGCCGTAAATGTATCACAGCTATGCTCTTTGATCATTCTCGACCGAGGTGAAAAGGGATGCATAGAGCTGTCTTCGAGCATAGCTTTGCACCATGGTGACAAGGAGAAATGTTCCGCGGTTTCCTTTGGTATGGGCGCAAATGGAAACAGGCCCTGAGGGAAATCCATGGTGGGAAATGAATGAGTGTGTCCATTGTGAGATGCAATTGAAGTTGTTGATAGTAGTACATGCTGTGTTGAATCTTAGACAATTGTTAGTCGTTGTGGACCTGATAAGTGTTCCACTTTGGATGTGTGGTTAGGTTTGATAAGATAAGTGGATTCGGACTTCGGAACGATGAAACTAAAGCGCTTGAAACATGAAACTACACCGTAAAAGGAAGAGCTACTCTCGAGCTATTGGAGCTGTGGCCTTGGAAGTTGGAAGCTAGATGGTTCAAGGGAAAAGGTACCGACAGGTACAGGACTAGTCACTTCGATGTCAGCCAAAAGATGGTAATAATATCCGATCTTTGAGGACGCTTCCAGAATCATTGACGATGTTCGAATATTAAACTTTTGCAAATCCAAACATTCAGGGCATTCGTGAAATTAAGGTTCAAGACGATATTGAGTTCTAGAATTAGTAGGGGATAAAGGAGGAAGGGAAAAGCTAAATGAAGGTTGGAAGGATAATTATGAGTACTTGTTTGTGTCTATCCAGAAATTATTCGTCCTTCTCATCCTTCATATCTCATATATGCATGATTCTGGATACACCTACCGACCCAGGTAGACACTGGATATAGCTGTATATATATATCAATATATATCAATATAGTGAATATACTCGTAACATAAGATAGCCGCAAGACGAATGATGAAATTTTATGGATCCCTAATATAGAATTTCACCACGGCTCTCGGTTCACGGTTCACGAACACTTTGCTTTGGGTGTAAATTTGGATTCATGGACTCCTGGCTAAAAATAAGGCTGGGAAGTTCCATTTACCTTGGCCGAGCTTGCGAACTTGCTTTTCTGCCCTCCTTTCCTAGGTCTGTTCACTTCGATAATTACGGTAGATGTCACTTGAACACTTTGGCCCCCCCCCCATCAGAGTAAATCTGTCACTTCTATAATTACCTAGTAGCCCCTGGGTAGTCAGTCCTTCGTATACCCCTAATATAACACGCTCATTCCACTCCCGATGACCCTTTCGAATGATGAAACGAATGTTTGCTTATGAACTCGAATGCCCCCTCCACCCCCCTGAACACTGCAATTTTACCACGATGACCATTGACCACTAACGATGAAGCATGCGAGAGAGATGTTCCTTTTGTGTACGAGGTAGACCTAGGTAGTATCGAATTGAATGATGTCTTTCATAAACATTGGCCGATATTCAGACGGACGGTTGGTGGGAACGGTATTGTATATTGTATTGATACACAGACCTGCTTCTGGTCAAAACTCACTCGAAATAATTTTTATATAACCTTACCTATGCTCGGGACCTCTAGGTATGTATGATATGAACACACGATCTGAGCTTGGATTTAGGTTTGATCTCTTCTCGTCCAAGTATTCCATTCCCTCCACCATCTTCTCACTCTTTTCAAGCTTCAAGCTTCACTTCATAATCATCAATAGGCTGGTCCTTCATTGGGTATCACAACCCATCATTCATGTTGGGCCATCGATAGGTAGCCACTCACTCATCACACTCACTCCTCACACACTCCTCGCACTCACTCATTGCCACCAGTATATTCAACTCGTTTCACTCGTTACCAGTCATTTGAAACCTCATGGTTTGGTTTGCCTCAATCGCGAAATTCATTCCCTGAATGACCCATCACTCATTACGCATCATTTATCACTCAATTTTATTTTATTCCATTTGTATAATTTCCCATAGTCAATCATAACAGACAGTACCATTCAGAGCGCAATCCATTCACAGCACAATCGTCTATCATCTTGATTCGCCGTACCCACCTCCTTATTAACACGACTTGTGTATTTACCTGTATAACAGTACACCCTTTAACTTCTTTCACTTCTTTCACTTCTTACACTTTATCAATCAAACTCAACAACAACAATTAATAGTATCCACCAAGTTTGCACAGCCTTCGGCATCCTGTGACGATCCTTCCAATCATTTACGAGAACACGAGATACATATCAAAAAAAAAAACTTATGTGTGTGTGTGGAAGACATCTTAAATTCTCCAGCTACAAAAGTCTAGAAGCTTTCAAATAAAAATAAAAAGTACAATACGTCTGGATCTACGATATCCATTCAGAAATCTCCCTCCGGATTGTTTAATCACTTGCGACAAAGATCTTCCGAGAGCACCTCCATACCTCCAATCCCTAGCGAAGATCATACAGGACTGGTACACAAGAATACATCATGTGGAAACGTCTCAATGCCCCAAGGAGTAGTGGTACTACAGCTCGTCAATCATCCATCAGTGAACCTGTACTTGTCGAGACAACTATTTTTGAGAAATCTTACGGAGCGGCTGGCGGTATAAATGTTGATATAAATATGTCATCTTCGGATAGAAATGCGCCTCATCCGTCAAGACCGACGAGAAATAATATTTCAAAAGGATTACCACTTCTACCACTGTAGGTCACACGGTTTATCTATTTCCTCTGAGAGTGGGGGCGTTGAAGTTCGAGGAAACTATCAGGAGGGATAATGGATGTTGGGCTCATGTTTCAGCTTAATGATATCGCTGTCAAATCTACATTCTCAAGCATTCACTAAATATTTGCTAATGTTTATATCAGTGAAGCAGTTCCTCCCATGCACTCGCGCCAGAATTCCGATAATTTCAGACCGGTTTCTTCTGTCTACTCACAGCCTTCTCCGGGCCCTATGAGTGATCAGTTTCCATATAATACATATGCGAAACCCATGACTCCAAATTCAGCAGAGGTTTCACCTCCAAGCTCTCCGGAATTTGATGGAACGCGACGGTAGGTTAAATATTCTATTAGTGTTGAAATAGTTCTCTTGGAGTTGGTTCGGTTCAAAATGCTGGATAATGATCTGTGAATGTTTGAGAACGCTTGATGCTTCATAATTCATTGGCGCAATTATATGGATAGAAACTAATGCAAGTTCAAACAGAAATCCAAATCGATATCAAGATCATAAGGTCTCTCCAATCGATGAGGTACCTGATATTTCGCAACTTGGTTTCGGGATGTCGAAAGAAAGGACGGATTCTAGGTTGAAGCCACCATCGAGCAATATTCCTGTTATGCGAAGAGAAAAGAGGCGAAATCAAGTCGCAGCAGTAGCAGCCAACTTATTAAACCGCAAAGATGTCGATGGGCCAAAGGGTAGAAAAACCGCAGATGCAAAATGGGATCCATATTCTGCTGAACACCTTACAAAGGAAAAGGGAAAATCGCAATTCGTCAAGCCAGCAGAATATTCGCCTCCTCACTTGCTAAACGGTAGACAAATGGGGAATACATCAATCATTAGCGCTGGTCCGCAGAGACCTCAAAATCAACCATCTTTTGGAGAGCGTGTTCGCAAATTGAAGAATAATGCCCCGGTAGAGAAACCAGAATGGAAAGGGGCCACAGGACGTTCAAAAATTGTTCCCACGCCGTCAGATGATTATACTATACCTCCACTTAATATTCCAATTCCAGCGAGGAACGAAAAACGCATAACATCAGGCACAAGTACCCCTGTATCTTCCATCCGAAGTGCAAATAGTGAAACGGCGGCGGCACCAAGCTTCATGGATCTACCCGACCCAGTATCTATCAATGCAGGACCATTGTTCAGCGGTCAAAACAATCCACAAACCTATAACGAACCCTTAATTCAAAACCTCGAACCCATTCATGCAACTCACCTTACAAATTTCACCGACGATATTACTACAGAATCTCCAACCGCATATTATCCTTCTCATTCTAAAAACGATTCCACAGGAACTATTGAACGGAATTTCCGAGAAGCTCTTAAGAATTCTTTTCCTTCCATCGATCCAAACGAGCCATACGTCCAACCACCTTCGCGATTTAGTGTCAGTACAAAGGCTACGTCTGAAGCTACCCAATCTACCAGAGCACCCTCTCTTGATATACAAAACGAGATGCATCCTCCACTCCCAATTCAATCCTATACCATGACAACCCAAGGACCTACTTCAATACTCTCTCGAAAACGTCCTAAGGTCATCACTGATGATAGCGCATCCATTTATTCTACGAGGAGCATTACTCGCAAAGCTATTAATTCAAATAATCCCATCACAATCTCTATGACATCTTCTCTTCCTCGCGAACACCCACCGCGCTCTTCATCCACTGTCACAAAATCTCTTCCCGGTACCCCTGCCGAAAACGCATCTTCAGATCCTATATCTACACTGGAAGCGCGTCTAGAAGCTCTTACACATCGCAGACAGAATATTGAAAAATCAATCAAACAGATGACGGAACTTATGCCAGCGGATCGAATGATTGTTACGGAAGAAGTGAGGAGAAAGAGGGAGATGGAAAAAAAGCAGATTGAGAGATTGAGAGAGGAGGGAACGGAGATTAGGAAGGAGGAACATGAATGTGGATTGAAACTACACAGAGCGTGGAAGAGGAAAGATAAGCAAGCAGGGTATGAGGAGACAGGATTATGGGTTAGGAGGGTTACTGGTTAAGCTGTGGAGTTTTCACCTAGTAGAGATATGGAAAAGAGGACAATCGGTTTTCATGGCGCAGAAAATACGCAATAGCAAGGCGAGGCAATTAGGAGTTCGGTCGGCGCATACGTAGGGGATTTTCTGAGGGGAAGGATGACTCGGTTTGGAGTCAAGGAAAATTCGCCCATTGCATTGGATTTACATGTCCAATGAATTACATGGACTTTTCTATTATGGCGTGTCACATCATGTTTCATTTGATTTCGTGAATTAGGTTTGGAGGAGTAGATCTATTCAGCTTCTCGTTGATCTTGAAATCTTGCTCACGAGGAGAATCTATCTCGGAATCTCGGAATCGTTTTACAGGATACCAAGTGATTTAATTAGTTCAGAAAACCATCAATGGATTTTAATCTTTATAAAATCGAATTGCATATTTATTAATTTCCTACACTTTGCAATTGAAGAGGCTGTGTATTCTCGCTGTACATGGATTTGTATCAAGAATATATCATTGCGTTCTTGGCACAGATCACTTCCTCACGCATGCTGTCACAGAGTTTCAATTGCTCGCTCGTCATTACGGAGTCCACTACCGGTCCGGTGAGCTTCCGCGGAACTGGAGCTTGTACTTGCTCCGGGCTTTCTTTCACGTGACACACGGACGTCTTCCCCCGCGATTCCCGAGCTGAAGTACTAGTAAGCTCGAAGCTTCGATTTGCCAATTTCTAATATCCAATTTGATTTCATTATTTGCGTTATCAACGTCATTCAATATTGTGTTTTGTTGGTTTGGATCTTGTGTTTGAGATTTGGAGAAACGTTTTTGTTGAAGACCGACTATACGATTTACTTTTACGAAGGGAAATTTATTGCATTGCGGTGAGCGTGTTGAGAGATACAGCAGCAGCAGCAGCAAGAGAGGATATCAAGATTGCTGGATTTCAAAGAGAGGATATTAGAAGGACATTATGGATTATGTTGAGAAGAGAATGGCTGCTGGTATGTCCTTTCTCTTTATGGATTCTATTTTGTCTGCTGTGTTGTTGGGGGAGAGAGGAAGGATGGGGTCTGTTGGCTGTTTGAGATTGAGTTGGATTAATCAATCGGATCATTCATGTCATGACATATCATATCAGTATGGACCAAAATGCTAACCATCATATCAATACAGAAGCCCAACGACCTGCTGGCGCAGAAGTGTATGTTACTCCTCTTTCACCCTCTCAATTCCCCATCAACTCACCACCCCAAACAAACTTCCTAAACCCATACTAACACCCCCCAGCGCCAGCCTAGCCACCCCCATCAATCTCCTCCTCCTCAGTCTCCTCGCCCTCCTCACCTACACGACCTTCCGTCCGAAGAAGGCCGTCCCCATCCCCAGCGCCCCCTCTCCCATCGTCTTCCGCACATTCACCCCCCCAGAACTCGTCCCCTTCTCCGGTCTCAACAACACACCTGTCTATCTATCCGTCCGCGGCCGCGTTTTCGATGTCAGCAATGGAAGGAATTTTTACGGACCAGGTGGACCGTATGAGAATTTTGCAGGGAGAGATGCCAGTCGTGGGTTGGCGAAGGGGAGTTTTGATCCGGAGATGTTGACGGAGGATTTACAGGGGGAGTTGGATACGTTGGAGGATCTGGATGAGGATGAGTTGGGGGCGTTGAGGGGGTGGGAGGAGAGGTTTGAGGAGAAGTATTTGGTAGTGGGTAGGTTGGTTAGTTGTGCGGAAAAGGAGAGGGAGAAGGGGGAGAAGGCTTAGGGGATGGATGTTTGGGATATGAGTGGGGGTGGGCGATGGATGTATGGGGTTTGGGGTTTGTGGTGGGCAATGTAGAATGTGGATGTTTAAGGAAAACTTCGCAGGTCAACTAATCAACTTTGATCTGATGGTGATTGTGGATATCATTCATTCATACATGCAGGTGGTACATCTACACATCGAACCGAGAATAACACCCAGATTCCTATATTACGATTGCTGCATTCATTCATTCATTTATCTAGTTATTGATTGATGATAGTGCAATATCCCTACTCAGAGTATTTCAGCCTCGGTTATTCATACCTTGATCACTCTATCCCTTCATTCATTCATCTGCCCATTTATCATCCAAGAAGAAATAAAAGAGAAATTCCAAGCGCATCTCAATCCATCCTTTCCGTCACATAATACACAATACCCAATGTTGAACTAGACATATTGATTATCGGTCTATTAAGTATCCAAGTTCTAACTATCATCTCACAGTTTGTGAAGTTCACTTCTCTTTCACTTCTTGTTTCCTCACTCCTTATTCCTTCACTTCTTCTTTTTTCTTCACGTTTCTTCCTTTCTTGTCGTTCTTCACTTCTCCTTTCCTTTCTTCTCTTGTGCTTCGGTTCAAACTATAGAATCTTAGGTAATGTGTTTTTCTGAGGGAGGTGGATTGATTGTTGGATATTTAATATATAGTATGTGTGTGATATGTGGAGAAGGTCGGGGGAGCGAGTGTGTTGGAGGTTGATTCTGTGTAGAGGGGATGGATCGTGGAGGGGGGATGGGGGATGGGGGAGGGAGGGAGGTATGAGAGGAGAGTTTAGGATTTAGGATTTGGGATTTGGGATTTGGGATTTGGGATTTGGGATTTGGGAGGGAAAGGGTAAGGGAAGTAGGATTGAGTTGTGGGATGCATAGATGGATGGATGGGGGTTTGAATGAGGGATATAAGGATATATGAGCTTGAAGATGGAGATGGAGATGGAGATGGAGATGGAGGTTGGAGGTTGGAGGTTGAACATGGGAGGTGTATGGCTTTGAATGAAGGGATTTGAATGTGGGGATTTGAAGGTGGAGGAGTTATGGAATGTGTAATTGATTTCAAGATGGGGATTTGAAAGTTGGGGATTCAAACTCGATATTTAGATATAGAATGATGATTTGGTATATAGGTATATTTTCGATTACTCAAATGTCTGCTGTTGATCTGGTAGGCTGCGCAACGGGTACCCGCGGGGCGGATAATGGCCTCGACAGATAATCCGCGGATAATCCGTCTACGGAGCGGATAATTCAGAATCTGGACGGGTAACCTGTGGGGCGGGTACAAATTATTCGCGGATATTCACCTACTTGTATATTGTATAATTATTTATAATCTTTCATAATATTGGTATAATTTTATGACTAATATAAAAATTAGTATAAATCTAAGCTTGGATTACTTTTGGGCTGGAAAATAATCTGGGAATAGCTTCATATTTTAAGCGAAAAAAGCGGGGATTCTCTGCTTTTTTCGGAGAATCTATATATCTACGGATTATTTATAGATAATCCGCAAATTATCTGCAGATAACCTATATATTTGTGGATAATCTATCTATTCGTGAGTAGATGGATTATCTGCAGATAATCTGCGGATTATCTGTACGGAGCGGGTAATTTTAAAGCCTCGACAGATAATCTGCGGGTACAGATAATTTGTGCGCAGCCTATGATCTGGGGGAGAGAGAGGGAGAGAGTAAAGAGTAAAGAGTAAAGAGGAGAGAAAGAAGTGTAATTTTGTTATAGATAGAATAGATAGAATAGATAGAATAGATAGAATAGATAGAATAGATAGAATAGATAGAGAGGTTAAGGAATACTTTTATTATTTCATCTTCTTAGGGAGTATACTATTAAAACCTAGAAGCGAGGGGAGGGGGCTTTCGAATGAAGTTTGAGGGCGAGGGGAATAATAGATAATAGTAGAGAAGTGAGAGGAATGATTATATGTTATGTATTATTATTGGATATTGAATGTTAAGTATTTACTCACTCATTCAGTTGATGAAAGAGGATTGATCATTGATCATTGATGAGAAATAGGGAAAGGAAAATGGGAGGATAGGAGGAGTGGAGGAGTGGAGAGAGAGAAAAGAGGAGTAGCAATAGGAAGATATATCTGAGATGTGAATTAAGAGGAGATTGACAGTAAATAATGTGATTACCAAGTCATTTAGTGGGAGACTTTCGATTGTCAAATCGGAATCGGAAACGGAAACGGAAACGGAGTTGCGAATTGGAATTGAGGGGGTTGTGGTCTTGTGGCTTTGATTAACTTTTGATCCTTTTGGGGGTTTCGAGGTAGTATAGGTATGATTTGTAAACGGTATACATATGTGCATGGAGTGTTGGTTTCTCAATGCGTTTTGAGTATATTATAATAGAGGAAGTTTGGATCTTTAGACGATGTTCTTATTTCCACCATTGAAGTAGGGGAATAGGGGGAATGTGGATATGGATATGGATATAAATCTAGAATGTGCCGGATATATCTATATATACAAAGAGAGATAGGATTGTGAGAGAGAAAAGTAATATACGATGATATCTTGTATATATATCAATGTGATTACTTCCATCTAACACCAAGACCCCCTCGTCTAAAAACCTCAATTCCCACTCCCACCCCCATTCCAAACCAACACATCCTGAACCACCTCCCCCTCCCTAACCATCTCCTCCATCAACGACCTCCTCTCCAACATCCACTTCGCCCAAGAACTCTTCACTCCCTCTCTAAATCCCCAACACGTCACTTTTGCACTCCTCAACCCCTCATGCGCAAGTAACTCCTTCATATACTCCCAATCACGCAACGACCAACTATTCCTCGCTTTTATTGCCGATTTCCGTACTTCTCGCGCCTCATCCCCATCTAACGCCATTACATCACCCGTCTCAACAACTTCAGAACCATCCCGTGCTTCTCCCATCCACGGATTTCCCCAAGCCGTCAAATCCAGACTTTTCAATCCCACCAATTCACCCGTGATAAACCCATAAAACCCCCCCCAAACCACATCCCCACTACCGCCAACACCCATCCCCACCTCGGGAACCTCCCTCGCAATCTTCAAATTTCGCGCCCATCCCCTCGCATCCTGACTTCTATCCATCCAAAACGGTTGCACAGCTTCGACATGCATACCGAAATCCCAGATGCTATTTCCATTTCCATACAGTACTTCTTCTGCTTCTTCTTTCGTTTGTTTACATACGCTTAGGATACGCGTGTGGATGCTCGGATTCGGATGATCGGTGTGGGAATTCGTCGAGAGGACTTTGTACGTGGTGAGTTTGTCGGGGGTATCTGGGGATAGGGGGTAGAAAGATTGGGCTGCGCAGAGAGGAAGACATTTGGGTGGGAAGTAGTATCCATTATGGGGGATTTGTGTTGTGATTTTATGGTGGCGAGGTGGAAGGAGGAGGAGATAGATTTTGAGACGGATTTCTAGAGGCAGGGATAGGAAAGGGAATGATGGATTGGCCATTGCATTGTTATTGTTGATTGGCGAGGAAAAATCATGTGATGAATACTCCGATAGAGCTAGTGAATCCACAGGGCTGAACGACATGGATTCTCTCGATTCCTTATCCTTGTTTGATTGTTTCGAAGAATGACAATGGAAAGGATATGAAGTAGGATAAAGAATATCGACATCGATATTTCGACAATTACTTTTACATTGCTTTATATCTTTATTCTTTTGAGCGTAGAAAACATTCATGGATAAGGTGGATAACTCCGGATACCTTGATGGGTTCTCGACAAGGAAGGACTTGGATGTCATTTTCGGGTAATGCAGGGGCGGAATACCGGTGAAGTTGACAAGGGGTATGATGTCCGGAGTGTCGGGCTGTGGAATTTTGAGTGTTTTGAGTTGTCGGTGTATCTGGAATGGAATTATATTGAAGCGTTGATTTCGAAGATTGTGATACGCTCAGTGTTCCATCACTACTGATAACAGTCTCGATCTTATGTGGATTTCGCGTCTATAAAATAGGAGACTTTCAACTAATATTGCACAATGATGTTGATGAAGATGCGCGTAATTGTTTGGTAGATAGGGGTACCGATTTGACGTCTTGAAATATTATCTCTCATACGTGTCGAGATTAAAAATAAAAGATGATTTGAATAAGTGAAGAGAGGTAAAGTGAGAAAGCAAGAAATGTTCTGTATTAATGAAACCCAACCATTTTGACACTACGTATGGGATATACATTTCTCTGATGCATAACAAGAAGAGACGAATAAGAAGCCAACAGTTTGTCTATACCTCGAGAGACGGAAGTATAACCAGTTCATCCGGGATGAAATCTTACAGCATGCGGCTGAGGATGACACTGCATGACTGTACCAAAAACCCCAGAGATCAACGTCAAAATCTGACCTCCCTCGTACAATAATGCTTACACCGTAAACTAATACTAGGGACATACATATTGTCATTATACACCAATGAGTTCCCGTCGCAAGTACTCTGCAAATCCATTCATAATCGAAGCAGAGAATGCGACAAAAAGAGCCATAGATGAAGAATGATTTGACGACGGCATAGATTGTATCTCAGAGGTGATATCCAATTTCTGGATACCTTTAATTTCCAACAATTGGGAAACCCATACCAAGTGTTCGTTTGAATGAGACGTCAAAGTCTCGAAATCCGACGATGTGTATTGTCTCGTTTCCCATTCGCCTCTTGGTTGACCTCCCTCGACGATTAATTTTAATCCCTTTAATTGCATATGATCTCTCAAGAATTTACAAAGATTGTTCCAATCGCATCGATTCGATTCGAGAGAAAAGATAAAACCTCGTTTGAAAAGAGATATCTCTTGTACTAAAGGTCGCGTACCAGGATTTAGATCGGAAAAGAAGGGGACGATGGCCTCGATATCCTTATGAAAACTGAATATTCGATTGTAGTATAACATCGGTAAGGTTTCTTCATATATCTTGCGATTCACTCTCATTATAGAGGTGTGTATATCGACGGCAGTGCATAGTTCATATGTTGTCTGAAGTTGTTGTCGCAAAGGAGAGAAATCGACACTGTAGGAAGAACGTAGGGAACGACTAGGACCATCAGGACGTTGGCCATATGCGTACGGTTTTTGGTTTCGGATTTCGAAACTTTTGTTGTTGTAATCGTTGAAAAGGTATTCATATATCATAACCCTGATCTCTGATGGCATACTCACGAGCGCCGAGAAAGGTTTGACGTCTGTCATGGCACATTCAATACGCATCCGTGGAGCTAGAGAAAATGCCGACTTCTTTTGTTGAAATCGAGGACTGTTATTTGCATATTCTGAACGAAATTTTTTTTTCCAACTAAAGATTAGAGTAGCTGTTGGACAAACCAGGAATATCCATCAAGGTTCTTCCTTTTGTCCAACGGCACGACCTGGAAACACTCATTGATAATGATCCATATGGCTGCACTAAATGTTAATGGATTTTAAAAGAACATGTGCTTTGAAACGAAATACTGGATCGTGTATGCAGTGATTCTTCATTAGCAAAGCAACCTGTAGGTAGACCCGAGTCGACTCAAACCATATCGCCGAAAAAGAAACCAAATTTGCACGGCAAGTCTATCACCTAGCATTGTGCCATGATGCTATGATGGCAATATATGCTGCTAACAACTTGGGCAGTTCTTTGCCGAAATCATCAACAGATTGATGAACTGGCTTGGATTGGTTATGACCCTGGTGCAGTAGAATGTGAATACCAGGTAGTCCTCGAGTCCCCCTCGTAGGGGTAGCAATTGCGATAACATGTTGCTAACGCTTTGAACACTCCTGCTTGAATCATCAGTGTGTATGGAGCTCCTTGTAAAGAGTTTTTATGTGTTCAAACTTTGGTGCAGAGAGTATTGATTACTATAAAAATCGCATGCGTTTATCTTTATCGGACAATCATCGGGTCCTTTTTCATGAGTCGGTGTCGGTTACTTGATTGACTAGCCAACCATCATTTCAGGGGATAACCACTCAACAAACTCATGATCGATAACTTAGATGATTAATAATTAATAAATATCTTTGGAAGGTCATCCACATTGTAATTGCAATCAATAGATACTATAATATATTTACCTCGTCACTTTGCCAAAGATATGGTCATTTTTCTTGATCACTCATAATTCATCCAATCTTCAGAATATTTCGTTTACTGCTTCGATTATTAATCTACCCCTCCATCAATGGAAAACTCCAACTTCAATTTTTAACATCAAACTCAAAGTCCAAGATCACTGTTCACAATTGCACAGTATCCATATATACTAGAATCTAATCTAATCTACCTGTCCTCAGATCCTTTTCAACGGCTTTTCTGTTAAAAGGTATATATGCTCACATGCCTGCTATTTAGTTTTAGCGATGTTACGTCCCAGCCACTTGAATTTTCAATTATCACGGGGACAACCTTCCCAAAGAAATCCCAGCCCTTTCCACGCGTAATTAAAAACATTCCTTCCCAGCCTCCATAAACAAATTGCATGAGGTAGGTGTGTATAATATGATGCATCTCATTATTCCATGTAAGTCCCTCTAATCTCAGATATCAAACCATTGTTCTCGAGTCTATTCCTATCCATATATCTACAAATTGATGCAACCATGCGTCTGAATACTTCCACTTCCAATTTTTTTGCGCTATCCACACTTTTCTTGCTATCATCAGGGCTTCCAGTTATTCAGAAAGATATTATCTCGGTGGAACATGTGAAGAGGGCTTCGTACTCGGTTGTCAATGTTGAGGGAGGTTCTTCAACTTCCGCAAGTAGTGGAAATGGGAAAGCAACTACTGTTATAGAAACAGTCACCAAAACCGAGGAGCCGGCAACAAAAACAGTAATCGAGACCGATTTGACTACAACTACAAATCACATCGTTTCAACTCAGACTGTGAAAGGTTCTGGTGCAACTGAGACTACCTCAGTTACTGTTACACCATCTCCGACCATAGTCGTTAGCGTTAGTTATTCAGTTGTGGATATTTCTGCAGTGACTACTTCCAAATCTTCATCAAAGGAAATATCCACCTCTGCAAGCTCCACTAATTCGGCATCCTCATCTACTTTATCAAGAACGGCAATTACTAGTTCGGAAACCATCATATCTAGTGCGTCAGAATCATCAAAATCATCCGAGTTATTGACAAAAACCACATTATCTTCCCAAATTGCATCCTCAATAACAGCCACGGCGTCAACTTCAACCACACAATCAACCGTATCACCTTTGACTTCTAGCGCTTCTGAATCATCCACTGCAGTCGGATCTTCATCATCGCTGTCCTCGACTATTCCCAGCGTCACCAGCTTGATCACTTCCGAAGCATCTAGTCCTCCTCAAACTCTCGATTCACAGTCAAGCACATTCACCGACGAAACTTCATTCGTTTCCCCTACTAATACTCAATCTTCCTCGCGGGTTCCTTCTTATACGGGAATACTATCGAGTTGGTCTGCTAGTACAGCTTCTTCCTTAGCTACTGCTACTTCCTCCGATAGTGGGAACTCCCTCACTAGCTATCCTTCTTGGAACTCCACGACTGCTATACCTAGAAATTGAGCAAATTTTTACTCGTCACATTGAATGCTCGACCACTCCTTAGTCTTGGAGAGATGCTACACCGCAGGAGAGATTTCTCTTATAAGGAGAAATTCATGATGAACCCACATTGTCTCTCTGGCATTCGGCGGGTGATGGAATGCGATCGTTAGGTTGAGAACCAAGTTTGTGATCCAAACTGGCAGCGCAGAAAATGTGCTTGGTTCTGTATTCATGTATATACATTGGGATGATGTTATTTATTTGGAGTTAAGGAATCATATGGCGCCAAGAGCTGGCAAGCCTTCTATAAAATTGGTTACACGATGGACACAAAGAGACACGCTGTTATATAAGATGTCGAAATTTTAGATAATCAATACTGAAGATAATTAAGATCAATGAACATTCACATGTTAAGAGCTACTTTCGATTGCTCTCGGGGTGGAATAAAATCTTTTGACTGAGAATAATAAGTACAATACAGTGGTGTATTTGACCAACAACAACGCTCCATACTCCTATTAGATCCAAACTTTTTATTACAGAGTATACTACCTACATTAACTTATCAAATCTAGAATTCCGGCCAAGACTAGTGACGCTTTTCGGAGTGCGGATAAACTGTTCATCCGTCAATACATGATTGGACAAAAACAACCCTTGTCAATCAATTGTACATTGGGAGGCTTATTAGCGTTCCTTCCCCCGGAAACTGGTCGTCACCATTTAATCTTCGAATCCTATACGAATATCTGATATCTACATTAATCGCTCAACCATTCACGAATTATTATTTGCTTGGGCTACGAATAATTTCTGCTGCGCAAGCAACTGTACCTGAAAGTCTGCCATAATGGCTTCTCCACCTCAAGTCGTGGAGGATCAGGCACGACTCCTCGAAGATGCCTTGAATGTTGTTCGTCAACAAACGCAACTTATGCGACGATGTTTAGAAAGTCCTGGGAAGCTTATGGATGCTTTGAAGTGCAGGTATGTCAAATAAATTTGGGTTATTTGAAGCTGACTATGTGGTTGCAATGATCATAATGAATGCGCCAGATGGAAATGATCTTGTGCTGATTTGTCCCTTTCAAAACTTGTAGTTCAACACTTGTCTCCGAGCTTCGAACGAGCAGTTTAGGGCCGAAGCAGTACTATGAGTTATACATGGCAGTATTTGATGCCTTGCGACACCTATCCTCTCACCTCAAAGATTCCC